GTTCTTCTTCTCTTCTTCTGTAATGGCTTCAATCAAAGAGGTTCCACTTTCTTCCATAAGAATTTGAGATAGAGCGACGCTTATAAGATCTGCATCTGAAATTTTCGAGCATTTTCCATAGAGTTCCATGTTGACGATCCAATTTTCAACTGGTAGTTGCGAGTCGAACTTCGGGGTTTTCATTTTTATTTGTCCAAAGGGCTTTGATCGATCCGGTGATGCTTCCTTCTTCTTCTGAGCAGGATCTGGTTTAGGAGCATTTTCGGTTTTTGGAGCAGAACCAGCTGGTTTAGAGTCAGAGTTTGGTGGTTGGAACTTTGTTTCCTTCTTTTCAGACTCCTCAATTCGAGCAAGAATTGAGTTCAGGTTATCCACAACAACGATTTCGTTGATTTTAGCTATATCAATTTTATGATCCGCCCGGGCAGTCTTCTGAACTGCTTCTTGAATGTTGTTCACATCGAAATCGGGATCATATTCGAGCTTTTGGCCCGTTTTTCGAAAGAAATATTTCTTATCCATAGTATCGAATAAGTCAGGCTGAATATCGAGCAGATTCAGGACACATCCAGACTTGTCGAATCGAGGAATAGGGAGTGGATATTTTCGCCTCGGACTTTTGTCATAGATAAGCATAATTTCTTTCGCAGTCAAATCGACTACGAACTTATAATAAAGTTCTCCCATGACACCGTTAAAATGGGTAAATTGGGTAACCTGTAGTACCTCGAGTCAGTTCTTTGACAACCACGGTCTGAAGAGCGTCAGGATAATTTCAGCAGCAATTCTCTGTCTCTAGCTGGATTGTAGTTCCGTTTTCTTCAGTCACCAAAATATGTACGTGTTTCTCACAGTACATAAGTTGGATAACTAATTGCGTTTATCGTATTCGCGAGCGGGAATACAAATAGTGAGCGACGAACGTTGTTAAAAAGAGCAAGTTTTATTGTGGTGTCTCTGAGTAAAAAGTAGAGTTGTGTGTGTGTGAACTGTGTCAGTGAGAAATAAGATCGTTTATATATGGTTTTCATAAACCGTGGTGAGCTGTTAGATCGTGGTGAGTGACTTTTTCGTGAGTCGTGAGTTGATCCTAGTCCGTGGTGAACTGTGCTTTCGCGGTTGGCGGCGGAGCGTTCGCGCGTGGTGAAATGCGCTTCGCGAGTCGTGAATAGCGCTTCGCGGGTCGTGAACTGCGCGCGGCGCGGCGCGGTGAACTCAAGTGGCGGATGACTAATGAGAAACACTACAATCGGAAATAATATTCCTTCAAGTGGAACGCATATCTTGGGCTAACTTAGAACGATTTCACTAGTCACACAAAGAGAGGCCTTTTTATTCAAGTAGTTAATAAAAACATGATCATAGTCGGTCTTTTCGCTGACCCGTGCAGTATATAGCCCTTGAAATTAATGTGGGGAACAAACGCCGCCGCCCTTGAGGAAGAGGGTTAAGGTAACCCGGCCAGGTGCCGGTCCTCGAGCACGTGATCCCCTACGCCTTCCCGTTGCCAAAACTAATTCCGCTTTCTGCTTTCCTTGTGATCAGGAAAAGTACCTGCTACAATGGCGGCGCTGCCCTTTGATCGCGATCCGAGTGCTAGAATAAGGATCAGCCGGGATAAAAAATGGGCGAAATGCAGGGTAAACAAGGGGGATTTGAATGAAAACCAGCTATGGCTCAGCGCGCAGCATGATAAGAACTCATTTTTTTTGAACAATTGGATATCGACATTTTTGGGTTCAAGAAAGTCAAAAAAAAAATTGAATTTTCTGGTCTTGATTGCCGAGAAAAAATGACAATCTTGGGCTGTTTTACCGAAATTTTGTCAACAATCTTGAAGACCAAAATGTCGATTTTCTAGTACCGGTAGACAATGTACAGGCTTTTTGGACAAAAAACGAATGCAGGAGGAAAAGTGTCTTATTGAATCACAGCTCAGGGTCGGCAAGATGATAAGCAGTATTTACGCAAACAACGATAAAGAGGAAATTTACTGCTTGAGCGAGCAGCGAATAAAGCTCGGAGGAGGCATTTTGCGCGGCGGAATGTATTCAGTCAGCTGCGCCAAGACACATAATTCGCACCTGATAGCTGGAGCCAGCACCGCCACTAACACCAACATCGCCAAATACTCGCTGGTGCAAGTTGCCAGTAGCTAGTTCTAGCGCTGCTCTCCCAAGAAGCATCGCACTTTGTCGCGCCCAGCTGGTGAGGGCAACGTCTCTCAGCCAAGAGCTCATTAGGGAACAAGCACTTATAGAATTTTATCGTGCAAAGAACCTTTATAAGAGCATTAAGAGCAACTTAGCGCGAGCTAGGGGAAGATAAAGTTTATCGGGGTCAGAATTCAACAATTTTATTTTAGAATTTTGAATTGAAAAAAATATTCAATTCTTTTGAAATAAATTTCATTCATGATTTTCCGAGACCATTGATTTGATCAAAGAAACAGTAAAACGATAAATTATAATAAAAAGTTCATGTGAAAAAAGCGCCATCGTGCGGTATTCTAGCGGCTAATTAAAGATATTTGAATTTTTTCTCAAGAAGAAATGTGCGTCAATAGAGATCAATTATTCCAGATAATTAAAAGCAAATGTGCTAAGCCAAAGAATTAACGTAGAAAATTCACTTTAATTATCTGATTATTCAATTAGAATATTTTATTCTGAATATAACATGTGGTAATATCCATCTTGAACCGCTCTAAACTCAACAAGAAAAATGTCTGCAACAACTGAAAGTCTGTACAAAAGGCAACTTTCTACACTGTAGAATCTACAGTGATTTGATGAGCACACTATTAGTGACCGCTTTAGACAGCTTTCAGCTGCTTTGGCCTTCGTCAGTCCAAATAACACTTGCCGCGGCCAAATATGCCCCTGTCGGAGCAAATCACGACATGCTGTCCAGCTCCATGTCACTTTACTTTTTTCGCCCATTATTATCGACGAGTAAACAGTTCCTAAATGGTCTCCCAGTTTTTGACCTTTGCCCAGGAAAAAGCGAAACAACACAGGTTTTCTAAAGGTTAATCTTGTCCAGATAGTAATTACATATGCTGTCTGGTCGACACTTTTTCGTGCTCAACACGTGGATTTTGACAAATAGAAAATTTAGCAGATGTGTTTGTTGGGCCTATAAAATGGACTTAACCAATTTATGGAAGTGAATTTTTGGATAACCAATAAGATTGCTGTATTTGGCCTACCGGCCAATCAAAACCCTGATCCATAAAATCACTTCTATAAACTGATTCAGCCCCATAAAATCTAGATTTACAGTCTAAGCTCGCTAACCTGTCTCAAAAACCTGAGTCAGGGTCTTAAAGAGGGGTAGAACCAATTTTCGGAACAGATTTTTATGGAAAGGGTTTTGATTGGCCGGTAGGCCAAATACAGCAATCTTATTGGTAATCCGAAAATTCACTTCCAAAAATTGGTTTAGTCCTAAAAGACTTCTGTATCAAAGAAATAGAAAAAAAATTATGGTCTCTATTCTGACAATAAATTACTTTCACAAATGACCATTAAACAAGTGAGAAAAAAAGCGCACGAAAGTCATCATCTTCGACTCCAGCTGAAAGGTGCGCTCGAGTCTTCAACAAGATCAGGCGCGTGTGATTTCTTTTTTCGAAAATCCTTCATCATTAACCATTTAGCGATCAGGTGGCGGCGGGGCGTATTACTTGATCCTTGGCTAAGGTACCCGGATAAGCCCCCCCGAGAAGGCATTTTTGCGAAGTTGAAGGGTGTGAGGTGCTCTCACTTCTGAGCTCGCTCAACGAGGCCTGGATCAGAGCAGTGAAAAGAGGATTGGCAGATTCAGAAGAGGCAAAAAACATCTGCCGCTTCTTAGTAGCTCCAGGTGCTAATAGCACTCATGAAATCGGAATTTTAAACCATTCAGAAAAGAGCCGGTATCATATACATTCACGTATAAAAAAGAATATGAGCACTTGATGGAGAGGCATTATTATACGGTCTAAATTATACTTTAATTTAATCGTTTACAACTTTGAGGTGCGAAAAAGGATCAAAGTGTATGAAATAAAATAAGAAACAAAATGAACTTTGTCAATAAACATTTCTGAAAGTGAAATAATAGAGAATTATTGCGATTGTAAAAGCTGAAAATTATGTTGTAAAGAATAAACCTTAGTAGATATTTTATTTCGTAAATAAAAATCATTCTTTATCACATTTCCTTGCACACTTTTTTAAATTTTCAATTTCTCATCTTTCATACACCAATTTAAGCCTTAATAATTCCAAGGGCTTAGCGTTAACGTTAGTCTGTTATTGTTTTCATAAGGGAGAGCAGCTGAAAGCTGGACAAGGTCACTTGAATCGAGAAACGCAAGAAAAAAAACGCACCCTCATTTTATTTCGACCCTTCCCGGCGCCAAAACATTCTCAAATTCAACATTTGCACTGCCATATGTTCTCAAGTGCAGAAAGATGGTCCTCGCCTTGCTATTTTTAATTAATTTGAATCGGGAAAAAAATCGAGCAACTTTTACTAACCATCATTATAAAGCTCTTGTTCTGGAAGAAGATAATCGTTTAGCCTCTTAACTTTTTTGAAACTGTATCTTTGAAAATATTAAAAAAAACACCACACATAGAAATTCGAACAAACATTCGAGGGTTAGGATTCCGGTTAGGGTTAAGAGTAAGGGACCCTAATCGGCCATTAGTAATGGCTAACCCTAACTTAGGGTGGCAAACTCTTCAATCTGCGCAGATTTTTGACCAATTATGGAGCAAATTCTACCTGGCTATCAAAAACTGACATATTTTTCCGTGAATTTAATAAGTACAGACAGCGTCTAATAGACAGTAAGCGAGAAGAATGTACAGTGAATGATTAGCCAGGTAGATTTTTTAGTAAGAATATCATTTTTAATCTGATTATTTATCCGAGAAAGGGAGCAACATCGACGAAGGGCGGGTTAATGCTAACATCGTGCATTCCTCTTTGTTGCATCAAGTACTCACCTCGCAGTTGAACTTCGAGTTGAGCGATCACTTGCACCGCTTGCTGAAGAATCACCAGTTTCGTCTGTGGCTTGTCCGTTTTCAAGTGCGCCTGGCAGATGCGGCCGAGGTCTTTGAATGCTTCGTTGATGTCTTTTACGCGCAGTCGTTCCCTGGCGTTGTTCGCCAATCTACTGAAATATTCATGTAAGAAAAGTGTCTGTAAAAAGAAAGTACTGTAGAATGAGTTGTTCTCTCCAAATTAAAAGTAGATTACAAATAATTTTTAGCTTTTTTTCGAGCAAAATTTTTGTCCTTCAAAAGGTCGATTTTAAGCCAATCAGAAACCTTCAATTTGGATTTCTACCAATCAGCGACCAAGTTAACATTTACCCTTTTATTTTATATTTAAAACTATCAAAAAAAATATTTTTCCATAAAAATTCTCGATTTTAGATTTACCTTCTCTCTCGCTCCCTTCGTTCTCGTTCTTCGGGTGACAATGAAAGATCCTCTTCACTGTGTGACTTTTGACTCGGCGACAAAAGGGGGAGTCTGTTCTTCCCTTCTGCTTTTGGCGAAATATCTTTGGGCTCATGTTTGATCATTCCCTGGGCGGCTGGATTGTGAAGCAATCCGTTCATTCCACGTGCGAAAATATCGGGATTCATCTAAACCAGCTCGAATTAGTCAAAAGTTATAGCGCAATTATCGCAGCGCCTTTTCCAGCTGCGTTAAAAGGCGCTTATGCAAATCTTTCTAGCGTTACATGGGTTTAAACATTGTTAATTCCTCGAAAAAGAAGGTGCCATAACGCCGCTGCTGATAAGAAAGCTCAATACTTTTATCGCGGCTGCTAGAACGTGTGGGTAGAATGGCATGCGGCTGACTAATTTTTTAGACACAATGGATTCAAAAATTAAGAATTTTTTTTTAATAATTTATTAAATATTTTAACAATTTATTTATATTCAGTAAATAAAATAATTTATTAATAATTTAAGAAATTAATGATTTCAATAAATTAAATAATTTAATTAATTATTATTTTATTAAATTATTTAATTTATTTATTTATTAATAATTAATCATTATTTTAAATTATACACTAATTATGCGATAAATTCTTTATAAATTCAATTATTTCGACTGGGAAAAGAGAGAACACTTACCGGACAAGTAGGACCAGCCAAGGCTGCGTATCCATTCCAACCAGGGTAGTTTCCAGAGTTCATGAGTCCTGACATTTCCTATAAAAATTGGTAAATAAATCGTCATAACAACGTCAAAATCAGGTGTTCTTACGATCGCTTTACTCCAGAATTAAGGGTATAACAACCGAAAATTCCGAAAATCAAGTTCAAACTTACTGGTAAATCAGGATGCGGTCCCAAGGGCCAGCCCATCGGTCGCCCCATCGCATCAGCAGGCGGTTGGTACATCCCCTGGACAGGAAAGTTAACAGCTTGGTTAGACAAATTCGCGAAAAAATCGCCGAATGAATTTGGATTGACCATTTGATTAAGCGATCCCGAATCAGATAGTGGATTTTCAGACTCTTGAGAGTCAGTTTCCATTTTGAAAATTTCGTTTTCAGCGACTGTGGGTGGAAATTGAAAATATGGCTTGTTACTTCCGCGAGAATTGGGAAAGCCTGAGGAGCTGGGCGTGCTTGACGATTCGCTCATTTTTTTTTCGGTCGTTAAAATAACCCGTATCGTCGAGAAAGAAAATTTGTTGGAAGGGTCAATGAGGACTTTCATTTTTATACATGATAATTTTATATACTGCGGCCTCATTCACGCGATCCGCCATCTGGTGGAGCTAAAGAAAATACCAAAGGAGGACTAGCGCCCTTCAGAAGATTGTCCTGACGTTCTGTTCTGCGAAGAACACGTGAGCCAATTGTGCTAAGCAAACATGGAGAAGCTCAAGTAGAAAACCATGACCTTTGAATTGATTAAAATTAATCTACGAATCTGGGCTAATTATAACTTTCAAGGGAGAAGGGAATGACTTTCCCACGTTTACTTTTTTTCTTTCGAAAATCAGCAATATCTTAGTGTTATGACTCATCAGGGAGATTCAGAGGAATTCCCGATCTTTCGTCCATTCAAGCCTTATGTAAATCAAATTGACTTGATCTTGACTAATGAAAATTTTTAAAAATTTTTCTATTCTCAATGAGAATTTCTCAGAAAACGACAACGAAGATAATTCCACTGTTCATTCTGCTCCAAGACTATAAATAAACCTTAGTTGAAGTCGAATTAGTCCCACGTTTCTTGATATATAATAAGAGACAAATTGTCTTTAATATAATATTGAATAAGAGACATCGCTGTCTCCATCATAATTTGTCCTAAACAGCCAGATGCTCATTAAGTCGTCTGAGACGATTCGTGTCATCATTGAGGACTCCTCATGACGAGATCTGATATTCTTCTAACAGCAAAGCCAACTCATTTGACCCCCAGTACACGATCTTACGCTCGAAAAAGAGACAAACAACTCACTTACATTTCTAACATCGAGCGCGTCCGGCCAGTTGCTAGCTGCGACCGCTGCGGAGGAATAGGCCCAGTCTACACCCGGCGGGTTCATCTTTCCATCCTCGTTTTTCGTTTCTCTTTCTCCCTTTTTTCCAGTGATTGACGTTGATTGGTGCTTTTTTTCTCTGAACAGGTGGCGCACTTGGCTTGTCTCCTGTTAAATGCTGCGTCCAGCTCAAGCTGTTTTTCAAGTGGTCGGGGCGGGGCGGGGGCTGGAAAACTACCGGACCGCGCTACCTCGGTCCTTATTCAAGAAGAGGCCAAGAGCTTGGTCCCTGCGGCGGCCGATTCGTCATTCTTTAGCCGCGGCTTACCGAGTCACTATTGCACGGCAGCGACACCTTGGGGCAGTCAGACTGACGCCAGGCAAAGCCACAAAGCAAATTTAACACTACTGACTACACCAGGCAAAGAAGCACCACACCAACAGCACCAAAATGGCCTCCTCTCTGGAAACTCAACACCACCAAGGCCCCCAACAAGTCCACCTAACATTCTAACCCTGTGACTAGATAATCAACCGAGAAAATGATGATTTGGCGGAATTCGCGCGAACTCCGAATCTGGTGTTGATTTTCAAAGGGCGCGCAAGAAACAGCCCGTGTTCGGATCGCGCCAAGCTGAAAGACAAATCTGCTTGGCAGTACACTACTTTTGTATGCTGAGCAAATAAAACTCGTAAAAAGCACTAGACTTTGGAAAATAATAAAATCGCTTTGAATTTCCTATCAGTGCTCATTACTCTTTTTCGGAGGAAACGCACAAGATGTTCAGTAACTTAATTTCATTTTGCTCGGGATCAAACCTTGCCCCCAAATGTTTGGAGTTTCCAACAGACACCTTTACTCTCAGTTAAGAAATTCTCTTTCAATGCTCTATTTCGCATCTTTTTAATAACTTGTGGGCTGTGTCTGTCTAGGCCACCATCTTTAAGATAATATCAAAAGTTACCTTCTCCCAACCCACGTGTGTTCATTTCTATTACTATAAAAGGTAAACTCCTACTTCAAGAACTTACCCAGAAATTTTTAAAATTGACGATTTTGACCACAATCAGATCAAAGAATAATACAAAGAAGGATGATAATTGATAAAGTATGAAGTGAATTTTGAGAATTTTTTATCAAAAATAACTTTTTATAACTGATAATATTATCAATCATAAATACATTATATCGTATATAAAAGACACCGTTTCTTAGATCATTCATTCGGAATGAAAAAGTATGAAATGCTCACTAAAATATTATTAAAAAAATGATACGATTCATAAAAGCACTGCATCATACCGTCCGTTATTGAACAAGAAAAACATTATTCGGCATCGAGCTATTGAAGTCGATGCATTATTCGTTTGAGCATATGCTACTGAGTGCCAAATCGTGTGTATAATTTAAAAAGAAGAGATGGGGAGAGAAAAGGGATGAATTAAACATTTCGCAAATGATCATCTCGCTCAGCACATATGCTTCACTATTTAAAGTTACCTTTTTTCACCCTCTTCTCGATCTTTTTTTCTCTAGAATTTTCAGATATCTTCCTAGGATTGACGGCTAATCATTTATCGTCCAAATTAAGGATTGACAATTAAACTCGCGAAAATCGTCGTAAACAACGTCAACAACTCAATGAATCGCTCATTCAATGAATAATAAATCATTCATCACGTGATTCCAACTTTTTATTACAGTAACATCATAACAGTGTCATTAAATATTGCTCCCCATGATGTTGTCAGGAATGTCTCGCAGACTGTCCGTTTTCTGCCTTGACAATGATGAAGACGGACCAGTGGCTTTTAATGATTTTTCAAAGACCGAATTAAGGGTATAACCTTCGATCTCCCCAACTTGAGGCTTGCTCCCAACTCTGAATCTGTAAGAGCTAGAAATAATCATAAGGGGTCTAGACGTAGATCTATGCTCAAACAGTCGTTTTTTAATCATTCCTGTAACTCTTCTTCGCAGAACCTCTCGGAAAGCGCTGAGAAAGAATCGTTTCTGCTCTCGCTGAAGAAAATCAACTCACTTTTTGAATACGGATACACGTGATCCTTTAAGATATGTGATATAAACATATCATACATTTGACCCGGAACCTCTTTAATGAACTTAAAGGGAAACTCACCAGAGGAATAGAGTTTATAGTTTCCACCGCGAGATTGAAGCACCAATGTGGTTTCCGGTTTATTTCCGCCAACGCCATCAGAAAGTGAAGATCCGAAACCTTGAGTTGCTGCTTCTGGTCTTTGAGAACTTCACTGTTTCTCGGATAAATTCAAGGAAAGGGGAGGACGGGTGCCAGGAAATTTATCAAATTTACGCGGCGGCCACATAAGACGATTACGCCGCGAGTGGTGCTCCGACTTGGTGGTGGTGTCACTCACTCCACCAGCGATCAGCTGGGCGGTGCGTAATTCAGTTAAAAAGTGTCAAAACTGTTTCAACTAGAGCCAAATATTTTAACGAAGAGGATGATTGATTTGGAAGAAAAAAAATCATCCTTTTTAGGTTTAGAACAACGTCAAAAGTATGATTTATATCCACATAAAAAAATAAAATTAAGGATATACCCGATAAAATTGAACTTTCATAGCGCCTAAATACGAAGTTGGATCATTTTTATTTCAATAGCAATCCTACCTAAAATTGTGCGTAGAATTCAATTCTGGTACTTCTTTAAAAGTTTTCATTTGAATTTTTCTCTCTAGAGCGATTTGAAAACGAACTCTCTCGATTTCTCGACATTTTTACTATAAATCGCTAAAATTGAACCGTGTACTGTATTGTAATGATGCTTAGCTACAAAATTGATGGGATGAAATTCTAAAACTCGATTGAATTTTCATTCTAGTGTTCTCCTCTTTCATTCCCCTGTTTTTCTTTTCTGCGCGTTTTTTTTGCTTGCTACCAATCAGAGCGGTGCGCTCAACCACGCACTTTCTCTCGGAAAAGAGGAGTCGAGTGAGTGAGCACCCAGCGCGCCGCTTTGCAGAGCTTTTACGCGCTGAGTAGCCCTCAATGAAATGGCTCTAGAACCGGTATTCTTCGGAATTTGAGATAAGTAAGCCATCAATATTGTAGATAAAGGTCTGAAGAACTTATCTATCGAAAAAACTCGACCGATTTAGACCAAAAATTTCGAGCAATCGAGAGAGTAAGATTTGAAATCGCTCTAAAGAGAAAAATTCAAATGAAAAATTATAAATAAGTACCAGATTTGAGTTCTACGTGCATTTTAAGGTAGAATTGCTTTGGAAATAAAAACGATCCTACGTCGCATTTCGGCGCTACAAAAGTTCAATTTTATCGGGTATATCCTTAAATTTGATCCATTCTTTCTCATATAAAAATTGCGTAAAGTAATGTTTTATTGTCGATAAATTTTGAAAATAAATATGGCCAATTTACTGTCACTTAGATTGTAAATTACATTTCATCAAACAATTATTTTTCTTTTATCTCTATTTCATAATTTTTAGTGCCACCTTATTATTTAATTATTATCGCTTATGTATCCGAAACCAAATGGGAGGCAGAAAAGCAAATTATACCCTTTTAACAAGCTCAAATTACTTATCCCTTGAAAAATTATTCTTTTTTAGTAAATTTGTTTCTTGATTGAGCCTTTCCTCTTCGCCAAGCGGCGCAGCTAACTGTCCAGCAGAACGGGAGAACGATCAGTGTGAGGAGATTGATGCAGAAGTAAGCAGACAGCAACACTGAAAAGAAGAATCACAAAGAATCTATCTTCGGATGACTTACATGTTCTTTGGCTAACACCAGAAAAGAGCGCCTGAACAGTTTCCTGCACAGCTCCTTCCGCTCCGTCAATTTTATACGCTTCTGGCAAAGGACAACGGAACTCGTGAAGCTGTCTCGTCGGATTCAGATAAATCAGGTACAGCGTTGCATCGATGATGAAAAGCGCAAAGAAACGAAGAATTCGCCGGGCAAAAATCGTCTTCACCATGTCTTGCGAGCGAGCCATTCTCTGGACGAACAATTCGAAATTGGAAAAATTCAGGTCAGTTTTTTGCTCGTGGTAGATTTCCATCAATTCCGAGTTCGTCAATGATCCAGCAGATAATCTTGAAGAATGCTTCTTTTTTTTTTGAGAAAAACTGGTCTTCACCTGTTAGATAAAATTGGAGCGTTGTCGTCGTTGATTCCATCCGAGTCATCACAGGCGGAATTCACCACTTTTGTGCCAGCTCAAAATTAAATTATCCTAAGTAATGTTATTCTAGGATCCTTTTGATGCCGTCCCTGTTCGTGTTTTACCCATTTCAGACGTCTGCAACGTCTTTTCAAGCAGCAAAGTTCTCCCAAACTCTTCAAACGCATCCTCCAGGCAATTTATAAAATAGTCGACGTGAAATGGAACGCGCTCGATTTCCCCCACCCACCAGAATATCTCTACTCCGATGAATACGCAGCATACCATGAGCATGAAGGCTGGGAGATACTGATAATGATCGAGGCTTATCTTGGATGTATCGATGATCTTTCCGTTTCCGTCAATGTCGAAGTGAGCCATGTGAGCCCAGCAGAAGCTTCGACTTTATGGGGCTTTAATTTGAGGCATGTAAAGTTATGACACCCCCCTTTTAGGTGGAAATATAAAGGCCCGTTCATGTATGGAAGGTCCTTTCCAGTGTCCCATGACGAGTTAGATGGTAGATCAGGAATACCCTTTTTAAGAAATTTTATTCATTGGCAAAATTGATCTTATGTTCATGAGCTGAGTTCTCTATTTGGTGGAATCCATCAATCAAATAAATCCATATTACTAGCCAATCATTTAATTTTTTTTAAATTTTATACCTTTATTTGAAGGCCGTCTTTTTATGGGGTATCTACATTTTTGTACATACGTATTATTGCTCATAATTTATGAGATATAAAATGAGTTTATTATCTCAAGTTGAGCCTTCTTCCTCAATACCCTGCCTATACTGAATGTTTCTGGGAGAAAGAGAACGATGAAAAGGAGAATAACAATTGGTGAAAGAACCGTTATCCAACTGACAACTCTGTCGCCTCGGAACTGATACTTTCTCCAGCTTCTCATACTCTTGAATCGGTAAACTTACGATAAATTGCTGATTTTTAGTTTGCGAGAAAGAATTCTGAGCTTGAAAAGCTTTCCTGATGTTTTTTGGCAGTCAGCATTTCTTCATAAGGGAACTAATCTCTTCTTCTGAAAAAGAATATAAAAGTAAAAATACTCGTTAATTGGGCCCTTGACACTCGCGCTAATTCCTTCACATCTGCGCGGACGCGTATTTTATTTTTCGCAAATGCAAGAAAAAAAAAGAGACAATAGGGAGCAGAGTAGTGCCAAGATGGGTCTTTTAGCGTTGTTTATGGGTATCACCTTGTTGAGATTTCCGGTTGCGAAAAATGAGAAAATTCTTTTCGATGGCTTGATGTTTCTGAATTGATGGAAAGCGAAATATTTCATGGTCACATTCAAGCACGTGAAATAATTTAAATTCTCATTAAAAATTTCCATAAAAGAGATGCTTCGTATGGAACTTCATTCTAATTTCTCTATCAAGCGCATCTTCTCCCGAGATTCTCAAACCGTCTAACCACGTTCAACTCATGGAAATCAGCATCTCTTTACCATACTCTCTTTCAGATTCTGACCATGGAAAGCAATTACGTCGATTGAGACAACTGTATTTCCACCACCTGTAATTCTTCAAAATAAAAAGATTCGCTTATTAATTTTTTCAGAACGAGAGGAGGTGAGAAAACAGTGTCAATTTTCGCTGGAAAATTTATTCCGGATAGGACCAATTTGGACGTCGAAAGGATGAGCCGCTATCCACCACCTGCAATTCTTCAATACTCGAAATTTCAACGAAATAGTAAAGAAGAATATTAGATGGCAAATAGGGAATCAACGAGGAGAATCTCTGACATCTCTCTTTTCTGTCGCTTTTTGCAGAAGCAGGTCCACCACCTGCAATTCTTCAATAGCCTTATTTCAGTAGCTTATCGGAGAAAAGACAGGTAGGGCCTATTACTGTCAATTTTCAAAATGGTGTGACCTGTGTAAAATCGGAAATCTCTTGAATCTCTGTTAGAAAAAGTAGCTTTTGGCAAAAATAAATCCACCACCTGCAGTTCTTCAATAAGCGTTTAAATTTCTGTCAACTTATCGAAGCACTGAGGAAGCGGTTTCATAAATGCTCTAGAATTCGAAGCGAGCTCTGTCGACCGAAAAGGTTGAAAGGATTGCTGAATCGATTTTTGATGCTAGAATTCTCCTGCAATGGTGCTTTTATACTGCTAGATTCTAGTGCTGAGTCCCTCGAGCTCCACCTCTGCCGCACAGGTGCACCAAAAAAGTCGGCCATCTGATTGCTTGAGCTCCCATGAAATTGTCACCACGCGGCCGGTAAACGGACGATAAACATCGAATTGCGGTCACGATCTACTCGGATTTGCGCATCAAGCTGGAAACATTCCGAGCCGCTAAGCCTCTGCAAGGAACGCGGCGCAAAGCCGGAAGAAACGCATCAACCTGCTGACAAAACGAAAAATGAAAAGGATGTTTTGAGCACTTTCATTTGTCCGACTTTAGAAAGAAACGGTTTTTTAAGAACGAATTTAGAAAGTGTCTACGGACTGTAAGTAGAAGGATAAGCTTGGGCCGTTCTCAAGAGTTTCACTACATTCTATCATGTCAAAAGAAGATTCTAACTTGAGTTCATAATATTCAAATGTTACTTAGAATTTTGTAAGCATCACATGCGTTGTGGAATATATAAAGCTGGCAAAAGCCTGGCGGATGCTGCTTCCATGCCCAGAAAAATCATCATCTCTTGAGTTAGCTACGAGTAACACTTCCAAAAGAAACGGGGAGTGTTACATCATTAATAACACAACGAAAACTTCTGTACTGCGATTCTGTATTCAACACTGTCCAGTTTGGGAGCAGAGGCGACATTACAATCGTAAAGCGGCAACAGTTAATGATAAATAATTAAAATAAAAGGGCAGAAAATGGAAAATGTCCGCGATGTCATCACGGAGGAAAAATAATAATGACGATACTTATTGAGCTTCAAGGCGGTGCGACTTTTGGTTTTCGGTCTGCTTTAGGGTCAAGAGCTTCGATAGCTCTTACAAAGATACTCCAAATTAAGGGTGTCCCCAACGATCGAGGCCGAGACTGTCTAATTCGGTGACTCAAATTTGGTTCAAATTTTGTTAAAATCATCATTCTATATATTGTATATTTATATATGCATTTGATATAATTATAAAAAATCTGTCTCGATTAATGCAGAGAGAAGTGTTCAAGCAACATAATTCTTCTCGAAATTTGAAATTTGAACGAGTAGATTTCGAGAAAAACGATCTCAAAGTTACCCGAGATTACAGAAGTCGACCTTCTTTGAAGCGGCGGTAGGGGATTAACTGATCAAAATCTACAAAATCGGTTTCGATTAATGCAGAAAGAAGGGTCAAAATAATAATATTCAAATTGATTTTTTATGTGAAAACTACCCGATTAGTAGAATTATTAACTCAAAGTTGATCCTGTTTCAAAAAAATCGTTGGGGACACCCTTAAGGAGAAGACACTTCAAAAGCAATCAATGTCGACCCCTTACCTTTCTGATATGAAAAGGAATAAAGGTGATTCAGAAAGTGTAGGAAGGGTTGAGCTTTAAAATGATAAAAATGCATATAAATAGGTAGTAAGAGGAAGTCCTTAGAGACTAAAATAAAATATCAATAATATTAGTACAAAGCCGAACGAGGTGAATTTTGAGCTGGAGTGAACGGTAAGAAATAATCTGTCTTCGTTATTCTTTTCCCAATCTTTCCGGGTCGCTAGCTGTTGGATTTTGAGCGAAGTGAACTCCGACGAGGTGGCATGCCCTTAAAAAATCATCAACATTTTTATGCTCCAACAACGTGTAAACAAACAAGCAGCACGGGCAGTTTTATAGCGGATCGCAGAAGAGTGGATTGAGTGGACTTACGGTTGGCAGAATTTTTGAACTATCGGGCAATTGAATGTCGGCGGGTGGGGATTTCGAGGCGGGACAACTCATTTTAGAGCTGGATGGGAGGACGGCTGCACGGTCAGGGACTTTTTGGCTAAAAATTATTGAATAGTAATAAAATTACTTTTGTACATACTCGAAAGCATCGGCATCAGCTTCTTTTGAAAGTCTTCTGAGCTTAGTCTGATTTTTCAGCGGCGATCCGCTTGTGGTTTTTGCATCTATGGGCTTGAAGTTCACCTGCTTCGTGAACATCCTCCAACTGTCCTCCAAAATATCTTGACTGATCACATTTTCCTTCGCTACAAAGCCCCACTGATGTTGGGAGAGAGAAGAGTCCGATGCAGTTACTGACAGGTCTTTATTTGATTGAGTTTCTTTAGTTTGAACAGCTTAAAAATATCATGAATACGTGTTTATTTTCTTTGAAATAATACTGGTACTACTGGAGCTGGAACTGGCGCAACTGGAATTGTTTCTCTTTTTCGAGGATCTTTTCCGCGATCGAGGTTTAGAGGGCGAGAGTTTGTTAGTACGGACATGATCGAGTATCGAGTTGAAAACGACTGTATCGTAGTTAACTTCTCCTGGAATAGAGTTGCGAGGGTTAGAATCATCATCGTCTGAATCCAAGCTGGCTTCTGGGAAAATCTCATCCACTGGCGAACTCGATCTTCGCGGATTCGAAAAGCGGCGCAAGCTGTCGGAAATATCTTCTGAACGAATGTCATTTTTCCGCAACGCCAGGGCCAGCTCGTCCTCCAGATCATCGACCATCCTCGTCTCATATGTAGATGATATTTTAGGATGCTTTCTGGGGGACTCGACCGACTGTGCAGCGGCTGTTTTGGCGAATTCCAGTCGTTTGGGTCGGCCTTTTCTTTTCCTAAAAAGATGATGAGGGCCGCGACCTTCCATAAATAGTATTTTTTGCAGTAGATATGGGGAGTATTTACGTCCACTTACTTTTTCCCCCTTGCACGTGGGGCTGACGGCGTCGCAAAAACATCTGAAGTCGATGGATTCGTTTCATGAGGCAAATGGCTTGGAGACGGTTCAGATGGGCTAAAGATGTACACGTTACCATAACTTTTGACCCATAAGATAGTAACTAGGGAAGACTTTTCCTTGTTCCCTTGTAGAAGAAAAAAGGCGGAATATCCCGTGTGATTCAGCTATAAGCAAGGCTCAAAATGATCACTTACATGTTTCTTTTCTTGACTGGTTTGGGCGTTAGACCCGCTTTTTTATCCCTTCTTGCTTGAAGACGCATTTCTTTTTCAATTTTTCTTTCCTCGTTTCTCCTAATCGCTTCCTCCGTTCGCCTTCGAATATCAGCCCGGCTCATTTCTCCGGCAACAGGAGCGACTCGGGAACGAGATGACGATGGGGTCTCGTGTTCCTTTTCCGAGAAATCGGCGGCGAATTGGGCGGGCTCGATGTCCAACACGGAGATTTGGAGGGTAGTTGGTGGGACGCGAAGATTCACGTTGAGATCTTGTGACTTTTTGAAAAGAAGATTTTTTAAATGGAAATGTTACCTGATAAGGAAGGCACAGTCCATTTCCGTAGCTCAACTCGCGCATCTTGGTCAACAGGATAAAGTGAGGGTGAAGGACGGATTATGCTGAAAAGCGGATTAAAAATGGTTGAAAATCGACCATCTGTCTTGGTGAACTTTCATCATGATACTTACTTTGGTCGTCCCACAAAAGGCCCGTGTCTGTCGCCAGAAAGGACGAGTAGACTCTTAGTCAGCGGATTAACCGCACCTTCAGAGATGCACTGACTATCTTCGAGAATTCTTTGTCTGGCTTTTAATGCTTCTTCCAGACGAGCCTCACGAGATTGGAATTGAGTGATGGTTTCCTTTTTTCGAAACGCAGCTTCAAAATGAATCATTAATCCGAACTTTTAGAAAGTCTTTTACCTTTCCGTTGGCGAGTACGATTATGAGTTGCTGGAAAGTTTTGAAGCGCTTCGTCGAAAGTAGTCGAATTTGAATCCTCATTAAGATTTTCCATTTCGACATCTGGCGTGGCTGGGGGAGATTTAGGAGGACTAGGAGCTCTTTGGCGCGAGTTCTCAAATTCATCAAGGACTTCTGGAAAATCCTCGAGCTCGATGTGATCTTCTTCGACGATCATTTCCGGTGTCTTTGAACTGGCTGGCGAGAAAGAATCGTCTCCATCCGAGTCGGACATCGAATCGATCGTAGGAGAGCCAGCATGGCATCCGGCAAAGTTGAGGATAAATGGGCGGCTGTTGTGATCTTCCGTCGACATTGGTTTCGTATGCGAAGGCTTCATCTGATGTCCTGGGCCATTCTCGAAGCCAGTGTGCAGTTGATGATGAATTTTCTTATACTGAACAAAGTCTTTAAAAACAAGGACAATACTGGTCAGCTCTTCAGTAGAACTCTACTAGTAAGCCTTCTATAATTAAAAAATGACACCGAGTACATTCACCAAAGAACACCAAATAATAAATGCGCGAAAAAATGGAACGGAATGATGTTTTTACTTCTCGGTGCATGGATCGATCTCGAATAGAGCGGACCTCCCCGTTTTTCGAATCTTTCACCACAATAATCGTCTCTTCCGCGGTGGAGCATCCATCTGGCTCATCGTTGCCGCAGTAAATAGTGGCAGTATCGTGGCCTGAATTGTGGCTCCGATGGAAAAAGTCGTGATTAAGGGTAGTTGAAGGAGCAAGTCCGTAGATTTCCGAATCCGATTCCGAAAGATTTCTAACACCGTTCATTTTGGAAGCATTCTATCAAGTAAAAAACTGACTGAAACTGAACTAACATAGGGTTTTCGACAAACAAATAGAACATCGAATAATCCCTCCCCTTCTCCAGAACATCATTGAACACCAAAAGTTCTACTGAAATCAAGGAGGAAAACTTACATTTCAGACTAAAAACGTATTTTTTTCGTAAAACTTTCTCTGATTGATTTACTTAGACAGTACTAAGAAAAGCTCGGCCTTGGTTAAGTGCATTTCGCGAATTTGGCCCCATTCCCATCATAACTTCCCTCAGGCAACGCCGCTACAATATGCAAATAACAATATATAATTATACAAATATAAAGATAAGACTATCGATCAATCAAAACCCTCCTCAAACTGGATTCCCTTTAATACTGTCAAAAAACAGTCAAAAAATGTCTTCAACAAGTCATTTCTCAAAAAAGAACTTTTTAGCTGGCCCTGGGGCAGTATCAATTCCAACCCTTTTTCAACCTTTTTTTCAGAGACTTAATGTTCTCCCAGTAGTAAAAAGGAATAATCTCACAGCCAGAAACAACTGTTTATGTTTAATTAAAATATAAACTTAATAATATTGTACAGAAACAAAAGGAAATCATGCGAGAAAAGATAAAAATCATCATTTTTATATTGCATCGTTGAAATAGTATTTTTATACAGATAAGGAAGGAAATTAGGAGGATTTATCATCAGCTTTGGGGAGTAAGTTGAGACATGATTTGAATGAATTTTCAAGATTTTGAAGAAATTCTCGTGTGAAATACTAAATTTATCTAAGTTGTAAGTTAGAAGCGGGAAACTCGTTTTCTTTCACGATTGGTAGCGAAGTTGGACTGGTTTTAGAAAGTGTTGAATGAAGGTTGAATCGGTTGAATCTTCTTGCTAGACTAGGTAGGAATCTGGTCCATGGTGTTTAGGCTTCTTTGGTTCATAACAAGGCTTTTCCGGGTCATCATAAGTTTATTAATGACTCATTAATGCTCATTATCAATGACTGAAATTGATAAGTGACCCGTCCCAACATCCAGTAAATAGCTGGTCCCTTGCCAAATACATTTCTAAAATTGGCAGATCTGCTGTTGCCTCCAAGATTCTTCTCTCCTTCAAGAATATATTTCCACGACGATGATAAATATTTCTATCTTACCCTTGAGCTGTTCGATGCCCGTTTCGTCCACGGAAATGCTGTGGAGCTGAGTGCAAAACATGATCGCAGTGAAGAGCAGGAAGAGGAGGGCTTCGAAACAGAGGATAAGGGTGACTATGACGGCGACTGGTGGAGTAAGATACGTGCAGTCCTGTTTGGAGGATAGAGTTATTCATGTGACTTCCTGTCACGAGATTTTGTCTGCCACAGAGAGGAAAAAACAGAGGCTTACACTGAGTCAGAGACTGAGACCTTGAAGGAAATCTCGTGCATCACGGAATGATGAAATCGAGGAACGAAGTCTCCTTTTAGATAGATTAAATTATGTAGGTCAGAGTCTGACCGTCAGACAGGAATTGTACAGAAAAAAATTATTTAAGCTCTATCCTGCCATTTCATCTCCACGCACATGATCGTTTTCCGCACGGCCATGAACAGGGCATAGCCGCTCATCATCATAATATAAAAACAAAATAAGACGAAGAATTTTTGATTGGATTCGCCAACGCAATTGTTAACCCAAGGGCAGTGATGGTCCATTTTCATTACACATTTTCCACAAACTAAAAGTAAATCAAATCGGTTTGAAATTTGAGGCTGTTTTCAACGAGTAAGCATATTTTTCCTTGTTTCTTACCAGAGCAGTGGTGAGCTCTTTCCGGCTTGATAGATTTGCATTTTTGACATTTATAAATGACTTGATCAGGTCTCGTCTTCGCATCTCGCACGGACTCTGGCGTAAGCTCGATTTTTGGGCAAACACCCGGATCTAAAGATGTGCAAAATGATTCAAGAACCCTATATGTTGGTCGTCTATGACTGCGGGATTATGATTAGTTCTTCCAGTCTAGAGCGCATCTTGATTTTTATGACTAGTTTCCCCGACTTTAGGTATTTTCTGACGGAAAATTATAATGCCTGCTGAGTCAGAAGTTCTGACCATCAAAACCCGAATCATAGTCTGTGATGAAAACAAACCTGAAGTCATAGCTTTAAAATGCGATAGGAGGGCTAAAGCAGCAAACGAATTGAAGAGAATGGTGTCGATAAATAGACTGATGCTCCACTGAGAAGGGATGAAGAAAAGTACGAGGAAAGCGTAGAGCCCAAAAGCCACTGAAAAAGATCATCGACGGTTCATCTTCGTTTCTTACCGAGGCCCCAAGTCATACAAGCGCAAACTAAGCCACAACAATCGGTAACCAGCCACACTCGCCCGACAACGGGTAAGCGCCTCCACCCACCCGCCGCCATCTTTGACGATTTGCCGATACGATTTCTTCAAAAGAAAAAAAATTGAAATCAACAAGGACTCTTCTTGAAATTTTGCTTATTGAAAGAATTCTCTTATTGGTATTATAATGGTTAATGACTCATTATACTGCTTGAACGAATATATATGGGTTTTGAATTGAATAAATAGATTTGACTACAGAACTTTTTTTATAACACTGTCTGGCAGACACGAATTTCATAACACAAATTTTTGGCAATTGTAATTTCTGGCGGAAACAGGACAAAACAGGGAACATATAAATAACTTAAAACAGTCGTTCAACAGAATTCAGAACTCCTCAATTTAGGCATCAGAGAGGATGGAAACTCCTGGAAGGTCTTTGCCTTCGAGGAGTTCGAGGGAAGCTCCACCTCCAGTCGATACGTGGCTGACTTTGTCCACAGTGTTGAATTTCTTGGCGCAAGTAGCGGTATCTCCACCACCAATGATGGTGGTGACTCCAGTTTCAGTGGCAGCAACAACAGCGTCCATCATCGATTTGGTTCCTTTAGCGAAGTTTTCAAATTCGAAAACACCTGAAAAGAAATAAACGAAAATATAAGAAATGGAAATTTACCAGCCGGGCCGTTCCACACGATCGTTTTTGCTTCGGCAATGACAGCGGAAAATGCCTTACTGGATTCCGGTCCTACATCCAGGCCCATCCAGCCAGCTGGAACACCTGACTCGACGGTTGCGTTTCCAACGGCTGCGTCTTCAGTAAACTAAATATTCCGTTGAAAACCCGGCGATTCTACCGGCAAGATGGGTATTTTCTAGATACGGTTTTCTTTACAGAAATAATCATGGGATGAAAATGGGTCGCCGAGTTTCGGACGTTAAACGAATCAATGATGTCTTGAAAAAAATTTTAACTAATGAATAATCCGCGCAGAGTATCTTCAAGGTATGCAACTGAATCTTACAGTAAGCAAGACTGTAAAATAGTGTTCATGCGCGACGAAGCCGCATCGCGAAATTCTTTGGTAGCTCTGACGAAGAAGAGGAAGTGTCCTCGGAAGTCACAAGTTTAATCGATCTGAGGTGTGCGAAATTCTCAACACGAGTTTGTTATTATTGATTTAGGCGGAAATCGAGGGAACACGTCGAGTCCTTAGGATGTATGATACCGATTACTACTGAAGCTAACAATGGTAAAGGATGACATCTTTTGCATCGAAACTGTCAACTTTAGCATTTTAGTCGATGAAGCTATTGCTTGCTCGAATCGTCCAGCAGTGCCTCTTTTGCCTAAAGCTGCTCTCTTGACGCTTATTTCAGCAGTCCAAGGTAACAACTTGCTCAATAAATACGAGAAAAGTTTTATAGAAAATGGAAAGGAAACAGGCGAAACCGAGGAAAATCAAGATAACAATAATACACGAAGTCGACGTGGCTCTCACAACACGCTAAAATCTTCCAGCTCGAATAAATCAGTAAATTTTGACCGAGTGGAAATTCTCGAATTTCGAGATACGGATGATACGGGCATTCCTGATAGGTAAGATAAAAAATATATGAACGTGTTAAAACTTTTATTAGCTTCGAAGCTGATGAAGGCTCAAAACCGATCGAAAAATGAAACTACTGAGCGCGCCAAGAATTATTCCAATCTGTAACACCCTTTTTTCGTCTGTAAGAATGAATCCCTTTTTATAAATCCCGTGTCTTAAATTTACCTTATCAGCAGTAACGAAGTCAGTCGGGAGAACAATCTTGACTCCTCGAGCCTTCGCTTTTTCCATCAACTTGGGGACAATCTTGGCTCCATCTTCATCAAAGAGGGATCCTCCGATTTCCATGTTCGCCAAAACCTTCTGGAAAGTAAAGGCCATTCCGCCGCCAATAATCATCGAGTCGACCTTTTCCAGCAAGTTCTCGATCAGTTGAATCTTGTCCTGAACTTTTGCGCCACCAAGAATCGCCAAAAATGGTCGTTCAGGATTGTCAAGAGCCTTGGCAAAGTAAGAAAGTTCCTTGTCCATGAGAAGGCCAGCTGCGCGTTGCTGAAAAGGAAAGTTTTCAGACGGAAATCAGGCATTTTAATTCGGGTGGTATTTCGAAAAACCGCAGGAGGAGGACTGTTTTCTGATTCTAGACGTCTCGGATCACTTGTGAACGACAAATTTTTTTATAAGGAATACTTCAGGATAACAGGCGGATCAAAATTCCATTTCAAAATCTTACCTCGTGAGCAATGCCAACGACACTAGAATGAGCCCGATGGGCACAGCCAAAAGCATCGGATACAAAGACATCGCCATGTTTGGAAAGTTTGGAGCGGAAATCGGATATCGCCTCAGCGCTTGGCTTAAATTTTCCACCAATTTCGGAAACGCCTTTTCCTTCTTCCTCCGCGTAGAATCGGACATTTTCGAGGAGAATAACGGAGCCAGCAGCTAGGGATAGATTGTTATCTTTTATAAGGGTAAGAGTTGTCTAGCTGTCAAACTGGATGAACAGTGCTGTATCTCTCCTAGGTCTATGCTCAGGTCCGGAAAGTAAGAGATTAAATGATTCAATATAAATTAAAAAAAATGTTGATGGTGTCTCATCGCCAAAAGATTTTATGGTTAAATGAGTGCAAACTTATAAAATTTTTGATCATAATTCTTTACCTGGAGCAGCAGTAGCTTCTAAGGCCTGGGAAGAGACACAATCATCAATAAACTGAACATCTCGGTTGAGAAGAGCCTTGAGCTCCTCTGCAACTGGAGCGAGTGTGAATTTCGCCTGTTTTCGTCCATCTGGTCGTCCCAAATGCGACATGAGCACAACAGATGTAGCGCCCTGATCCAAAGCGTACTGAATTGTCGGAACGGCGGCAGCGATTCGCTGGTTGTTTGTGATTTTTCCTTCCTGGAAAAAGACGTTCGGCTTTGCTGTTGGAAACATATAAGACTCACCTTCATGGGGACGTTAAAATCCACTCGCATAACAACTCGCTTGCCGCTCAGGGCCAAATCTTTGGTCGAAAGCTTTGCCATTTTTGAAATTCTCTGAAATACAACTCTCGCAGATGTGGGTTCTTTTCGATTTTTATTTGATTTCTAAAGCTCTTCAGTTCTAGCTTCAACGATTTTATAAGCGAGGCACACGGATCAGTGTGGCTATTGCATAATCGTTTGCAATCAGAGGGCGAGTGTTATACAACATGAATTTTGAAGAGAGTGCGAATTTTCGACGAAAGAAGAGGAACATGTAATTTTTAAGAGCGCAGTGTACAAAATTATTTCCAGTCTAAATTTAATTGTCTTATTCGTCTTCAAAGTAACCAAATCGTCGTGAAACGCGGGAGTAGAAGCCTGGGCGGTAGAGAAGCGCTTCGATGGGTTTGGCGGATAAAGAGCTGTCAGAGGAAATGTCCTGAACGGAAGTTTAATATAAGAAAAAGAGGACTAGAAATACTTCGTAGGGGTTGAGTCCGATGATGTAACCAAAGCTCGCAATAACCATCCCAACAAGGCACTGAAGTTGTTCATTATTAATGAATCATTAATCAAAATGAAATTAGACTTGAAGCTACCTCTAGAATGATATCAAAAGGAATATTGAAATCTGCCTCTCCTCTTTCTTTCATAATTCCTCTAAATTGACCGACAGATATGGCTGCGTGTCCCATCAAGACAAGCCCAAGAAATGCCAACAACTTCGACATTTTTTAACCTTTCGACCTAAAGAAAATGATATTAACCAACAACACGAATTATATTTGAAATTTCTTGCAAAATATATGGAACCAAAAGGGAGAAAAGGTGAGGAACATTCAGAATCGGAGCAGAATAAATTAATTTTTTTAACAAAAATCTTGAGGACTGCCCTCATCAGCCCAAGAAAACGGAAGAATAAGATCAATTCTTACACCCTACATTGGGCACTGGTACAATATGGTAGATAAGAACAGGCATAAATAGTAAACCGATAAGAAAAAAGTGAGTTTTGAACAACTGAAATTTTTGAACACAAATAAAAGAAACTGTCGAATGAAGAAATCGATGCATCAATAATTGAAAGATAAATAACAACTTTTGAGAATTTAGATAAGAGCCAGACTTGAGAGATAAAAGCTCGTAGGTTATGGGGATGAAGGTGAAGGTGGATCGATGTGATTGACGAAGCCGACGGAAGTTGAAGGAGGAGTGCGCTGAATAGGCGGTGCCGCCCAGGGCAAATGCCCAAAATGCGATTGCAGCGTGGCGTTTTCTAGCGCTCGTCGGATGAAAACTTGGTGCGATGATGGCGGGGGTGGCGGCGAGTCAATCTCACTCACAGTTGCAACTTGTTGGGGAACGATGCCAGGGCCGCCCACTTCGAGCATGCTCAAATGGGCGGTCGAGCGTTTGTGCCGATCCAAATGACCCTTCAAGCAAGGTTTTCAAATTTAAGAATAAAAATTGTCAAAAATAATCACCAAAAGAACATTTTTTGACGAGAATATTCTACTTTCGCATACAGGCAACTACTGTTACAGTCATACTAAGACTACCTCCGCTGAAAAATACCTGAAATCTGAAGGCAATATCACAAATATCACATCTAAATTTACGCTGCTGCTGGCTCTCTTCATCTTCCTCATCAGAGAGCATTTGGTTCTCGCATATAGAAGGATATAAAATTCGCACGATAAAATCTCTGGCTCAAAATTTGTTGCTCGAAGAAAGTTTCAATTCCAAGCCCGGAAACCGGATTCTTGGGATTTTCGCGGTGAACTTTTTTGTATCCCTTCACAGGAATTATGCAACGAGCGGGCATATGGCGGCTGAGTCAAATTTTGAAGGTGACTTTGCAATAAGGCAGTCTTTTTTATGGTCATTCGGATGTTTTAGGGGCGTGTGAAATGATAGGTATGGACGTTTTTGCGCATTTATAGATAGAAGAAGACCTTGACCTGAAGAGCAGCCGGATTAAAAGGAACTGGTGGCTGAACAGGGAGTGGTATCGGCAGTTGCATGGCGCTTGATTGTGGGATATCCTTAGCAATTTCATCGAAATGGGTGGGCTCGTCGTTGAAGCGCCTCCTCTGCTGAGCTTCAAAGAGGCTCCCTCCTTGTAACTCAGCGAGTTCTTGCATCCGTCTAGGTTATTTTTCGTTTAGCACGGAAACGGGTTCGCCTGGTTACCTCAAATGTGTGTCTGATTTCATGTGGCGAGCAAGATGGCCAGAAATTCGGAAACCTTCAGTGGATTATCTACTGGTGTGCTCTCTCTAGTTTAACTGTATTTAGCCAGTGCTCTGAAATTTTGAATAGACGTTTCGACCAAAATTCGGCGAGTAATCCTCGGAAACGGAGCACTGTATTTAAGCTTAACGACTTACTTATTCCTATTTGAATATTCTGCTTTTTTGCCGTATTTCTTAAAGAAAAAGCGCCGTCTCATGACGATCGGACTCAAGTCATGGAAAATCGCACTGCACTGTAGTATGGAAAAGAAAGAAAGTCTGGCTTCAAAAATAAGCTATGAAATTACTTGTCCCTTGAAGATGCGTCTCTGTAGAATCCGATCCTTTATTACAATGATTGCACTTGTAGGGGCGAGTATCTTCATCATCGCTGCCTATTTCCGCATCGGGAACTGTAGTAGCCGTTGCACCCTGACCATCCGGGATAGGGTTGAACAGAACAGGCTTTCGCGCTGCTCCGTCGCCGACGAAATTCACTGTTCCGGCGTCCTCTAGTTAAACAGCTTTAACAAATTAACGAAAACAAGATTCAAAAATTTTCATATTTTATTGAAGCACAGAAAAAAGGAGCTTGACCTAAAGAATATGTTTGAACTCACGGGAGCTTTCATTTGTGTTGCAGTTTTCTGCCGTTTTTTTCGCGCGATATTCGACCTCCTGTAACGCACTTATTACTTCTGCGTTGAGACCACTTTTCGCCGATGAAACATGATTTTTTGAACTTTGAGATTGATCTTGATATGCTAAATTTACCCGTTATCATCAGCGAAAACATGAATATTAATTGCTCAAAGACAAGTTACAGCTTTTGATAGAAAAACATGGAACCTGAAGAAGAGAGCATCTGATTGTCTTCAGAAGGTATTTGAATGGATTTGATCACCGACATTGGATGATCCATCGAAGACATTCCCTAGAAGAAAACGTTATGAAACGTATTGATCTTTGTATTCTTTCGTTTTCAAATGTAAAAAAAACCTGAACGGGGAAGGTTGGCGCAGAGTCGTATCTTTGAGGAGCCTCCTCTTCATCGACAACGATGATGTCTTCATCTTCGTCATCTGACTTGTTGTCGACATTCATCGGTTCTTCCGATTGTTTTTCTTGCTCGCGTTTGTTTGATCGGTAGATTGGGTTTTCGCAGATGACGCTTGGTCGAGATGCTTGTTGGGCGAAACTAAACGTAGATTTCGTCGCGGGAGAATATATTTGAATCGCTTACCTGCTGCTAGGCATATTGACTCGCCAAGAAATCTCGTTATTCTGTTGACTATTTTGTGCCATTGAGAAAGCTGGAGCTGTAGGAAGAGAAGCTCGTCTTTTAACTGCTCGCTGAGGAAAATCGTGCGCTGGATATGGTCTGGGAAAACATTATCTCTTATAAGCTGAGTCATTCACTATATATTTACTATAGTATACTGTATATTTATCGCTTATAGTTGGCATTTACCTTAAAATATCTCGAGTAAATCCAATAGGCTGGACAGGAAGTGAGTTTCTTCTTACTTTCGAGGCTTGACTTCGTGAGGGACCGGAAGAATTTGGCTTAGAATTATCGATGAATTCTCAGATTAAATAATCAGCTTACTTGGTAGCCAAGCTGCTGAATTCGCTCGTCATAACGCCATGGTCCCTTCGTCACGCGCTTCCTGTCAGAAGGTTTGGAACTTGATTTCGCGCTAAAAAGTTGAAATAAGGAGATAGTGATGTGTTCACTTACTTTTGATTGCCGACTATAGACGCGTTTTCAGCGATAAGTTTGGATATATGATCAGAAAGGTCTCCCCCGGCGCTGTTTCGTCTTGGGCGAGCTGAGCCGGTTTCTGAGTAGTAATTTTGCCTGGCGCGACCGACTGGTGGATATTGAACCGATAAGTTTCTACAGAAGAGTTTTTTCTCTGTCAATTTGACGGTACTTACTTGAAGTTCTGCTGTACTGAAAAGTATGGGCTTACAAAAGAATCATTATCCATTCATCACCAGTCTAAAAGACAAAAATTGTTGACCGAGGCATGAAAATTTTGAAAATCTGGAGTTGAAGAATCAAAAATAGAACAAGATGGAACGCTGCTGTCAAGGAATATTCAATAGTACTGTTTAATTTTCATAAATTATTTGTTGTGGAGCTTGAAGTGACGTCTGCCGGAGAGATATAGAATTGATTCTGCGTATGTTTCGGGCATCACCTAGATTTGCGGTAATTCTTGGACTCTCGCCTATTTCTACCTGGGGGACATCTTCGTCGGCCTCAAATGTAAGCTGCATTTCGTTGGTGAACACACCCGGCTCATTCATTTCTGTGTGCTCTCGCTTTTCCACCCGTACCCGCACCTGGAACTTATTTTCTTTCGAGTAGATGACTTGCGCGTGTAGGAAGAGAATGGAACCTATCTCTACGGGTGCTTTGAACAGGATGTCGTCGATGAAGATGATTCTGAAAGATGTTCATTGACCTTCAGAAAAATTAAGTGTCGAAGAGTCGGAGGTCACTGGTACCCTTACCTATGCTTTCCTTTCGATACAGTACACGCTACAGACCAAGCTAGTTCCAGAGACTGGCGCATCAGCCATCCTCCGAAGATTTTGTTGTGGATGTTCCTTGACTCGGGCTGGCAAATGAGAATCGACTTCAACTTGGTGTTCTTCATCCAGACGCTGTTTTCCGGGAGCGATCTCGATCCAAGCTCATGCTTTTGATCTGCCGTTTTTAAGTAATTATCGTGGATTTGGGCCATCTCTTCGACGGTAGGACGCAGTTTGAAGACGTTCAGGTTGTCCGACTGTTTTCGGTACTAAAAGAAATACGGCTAAAGAGCTCGGAATAGATTGTCATTGTTTCATTTTAACATAATTCTATTTCTACAATTTATTCCATAAACACACATGGCCAAGACAACATCTGTTCATTATTATAATTTTCTAACCATTGATGATCATATGTGATTTGTGATTTATGAATAAATTTTAGTCCAAGGAGGATTTTCTGTACTACTGTAAGCGATAAAAATCGCGAAGGCTTAAAGTTGTCATGAACATATTCTTTTTCGCAACTGGTGCCTAGCCAAAATGATAATTTTATTAGAATCTGATATAAATGATAATAATGAAATTCCAATTTCCGGACTAGAGAGAATGATTGAATTTCCTTTGCATTAATGCAAATGACTATCAGACAGAGGTAGAAGAATATCATCGCCGTCATGTGATTACCTTATTAAGCTTTTCTGCCAATTTATAATTCCTGATTTCCGCTTCTGTTTCCGGTTTCAAAGGCACGACCGGAGCTGCTCGTCCAGTTTGCGGGCAACGAGCTACCATGATGAAGTGGGATTGGACCAAGGGTTGTCCCTTATTCAGGAGTAATTCTTGATTGGTATGAATTTTTTTGTTGAATATTGATCAATCAGGGATTGGATGAAAAATTTCGCTATTCTAAGACCTCTCTGTAGCAAATCAAAAACTCCTTCCCTTATCATTCTCCAATGAGCAAAGGACATCCATCGACGAACGCCCGACCCAAACAACTTCTCCATTGAGCACAAGATCGTCATTTCTGGCGGAATGCTCGAAATATTCAGGAAAAAAGCTGATCTCGTCGACACATGCAGTCACGATTGAAAGTGGAACCTTTCCATCCACGGCCTTTTATGGTGATATAAATAGACACTTCTATTAATATTTTAGCTTACGAGAATTAATTAATAGCAGGGCTAAATAATTGTAGATATTTTTAATATTAATTTCTACTAAATTCAAGTGCAATCTTAATTCTCTTTTGAAAAATAAATCTATAAAAATCCTTCTTTTTCATCAAATTAAGATCTCTTTAAAAATATAGATTGCTGAAAGAGAAAGAGAATCACTTTCTCTCTGAGATAAGTGCGACCTGTCTCTTTGAAGAAAACATAAATAATGTCAAGCTTGGTCGAACAGAGCGTTGTAAATAATTATGTCGAACATGAGACGACTTGCGTATTTCTTTCGACAAATGATAATAAACGAACAAAGGCTTCAAAACGAAAAGATATCACCTGCCAGGGCACTACAGTGTTTGTAAGAGCATGCAACGGCCAGAGAATCTGAACAAAAAGTCATATTAGAGATCAAAAAAGGGGGTTAATAATTGAGTAACTGCATGCTAATGGGTTAGATAAAATGACTGACATAAGAACATGCAGAATCTGCATTGGAGACTACAAACTTGCAAACTAAAAATATCGGCTGAAAAAGGCATTCATCTACCCCTAAGAGCGGCCACTAGGCTCAGTACCCTGTGTTGAAGCCGTAGTCAGGGTCGTGAAAGACTTATGAAAAAAGCCGAAAAATTTGATCTCAAATGAATTACGAAAACCAGGAAGGCTTTAATCATAGCTCTTTTCCGACTCTGAGTCAGGTCTTCTACACAGGCTGCGGAGTCTAGCCCCTAACAGCTGATATTCCTCGAGAGTCTCGAGTCGAGACATATCTACAACACGACAAAAGGGAAACTTGCCAAAATCTTCCAAAATCCTGCCAGTTCTAATATGCTCATCAGCTAGTCGATATTTCAGTCGTTGAAAGAAATCTCTATCTGAAAGCGGTATTCTGGCTCTCACTCTCGATTCTTTCGGTGAGAGCGCGCTCATTCTATCTCTATCGAAATTTGCCTGAGGATTGGTTCGTTCTTTTTTTATGCTTCGCTGGTTATTTATATTGTTTTAACTTGATCTTATTTAATTATTCCCAATAAATCAATCAAAACTTTATTTTGCGCGTTTTGGAACCTTTATTGAGGCAAATCGCTCGTCACGGGCAAAGAAGCCCTCATCTGGACCACGCATATTTCTCCGAATTCCCTCCTTTGAAGTGGGTGTTTCATTATTTTTTATTATCACCGGGCCAAAGATAAGTTATGTTTATAACTGGCGATGCCCGCCAGGGTATCCAAGTCTTCAAGAACTCGACCAATTCGGACTCCACCAGAATGAGTTCTATATTTTAATCGCAGCGGGAATGATGGATCGCTTGAAGGAAAATCAAAGGTACTGTAAGGAATTTCAGGAAAAGGTTACCTAAGAGGGACTTTTGTAGTGAATTTGGAGGCAGATGGAGAAATTGGTTCAGAAACAGCCTCCATATTCGCCGCTGCTGGCTCGCCGATCATATTTTTGATGAGCATGGATCTGGCATCGTGAATACTCGCCCACTCACTATTCCTACTTTTTGAAACACCCAACCTTCTCGTCGAAGTTTGAGCGATTATCGAACATATCCTCTTTCGAAACATTTGTCTTCAGAAAATTGTTGTTTAGAAATTCACGTAATTATTATTAGTTTATCAAATAGAAATAGGTTTAAACTGAAGATGGAAAATAAAAAGTATTCAAGTCTTCCGTTATCAGAATTGTGAAGCAAATTTTGAGATTATAAATAGGAATTTCGAACGAGTAACATTTTTGATTATTTTTTGGATTGCTGAAATCAAGGAAGAGAATAATAGCGAACAGCGGAGGTTTCTTTTTCTATCAAAGAATTTTTATATTTACACGAACAGAACAACAAGAATCTCGAATTGAAGAGATTATGCGCCAGTTCAAATAATAAAATATTGCACTAAAATGAATCTGATTTCTTGAAATCAAGGAAGAGAAATTCAGGAACTAGCCCAGGGTGACATCGAGGGTCATCATGACGCAGAATCCAATCATCACTGCCCAAGATGCTGCTCGGTGATTACCACGGGTCTTGGGAATCATATAGTCACGGATCTATGAGTTATTTTTACCTGAACTTCAGGAATGATATCATCCATGACAACAAAAACCATCGCGCCAGCGGCGAAGGCCAGAGCATAGGGGAGAATATACGTTGCCTGTAACGAAATCAAACAACCAAGAATACCAGCAATCGGCTCAAACATGCCAGATAGTTGCCCCCAGAAAAACGCTTTCCAAGGACTCATGCCCTGCGCCCGGAGTGGCAAGGAAACGGCCAAGCCCTCGGGGAAATTCTTAATGAAAAAATGAAGACGAGCAGTCTTGAGTAAATCTACCTGAATCCCAATTCCGATCGCCAAATTCCTTGCGTTCTGGAAATTGTCTGTAGCAAAGCCGACCCCAACTGCCAGGCCTTCAGGAATATTGTGGATCGTGATGGCGAGTATGAGAAGAGCAATTCTTTTCGTCCGATCTTGTCGCTCGTTTTCTCTTTGCTCGATGCTTTTGTTCGTCAGTGGAGCTCTGGAATCAGCTCCATCTGAAAAATAAGCTCGAAAATGAATCTTTTATATTCTTAAAATTCCACGCTTGCTTATGTGATCAAAAAATTAACTGAATAACAACTGAATTAAACGAACAAGTAATCCCTCTTGCCATTTTAACCGAGTATGATTTTAATCCTTTACGAATACCTTCTGTATCAATAGCGACAACAGTAGCTAAATAGACAGTGAAATTTGAATATTTAAATAAGCAATCAACTGTATTGAATCAGTATTGAAATGTTCCACCTTGAACATTTTCGATTTAAAAATGCAAATCAATGAATCAAAGGCCGGTAGAGGTCGGCTCGTATCTAATTTTCATTCTGCTCTACAAGAGAAATCATGCAAAGATGCTTGTATATAACATAATATCTGATAACGTCGTCTATATAAATCGCTAAATATCTACATGCGAAGGAAAAAATAACTGAAGCTAATAACCTTTTTCAGGTTTATTTGTCTGGACGTTTCTTTTTCTTGCCCTTGTTTGAATTTGAGTCCCCTCCTCTGACTGTAACTCACCACTGAGCGGTAGGTCAGATTGGCTCGAGAACGAACCAGAATCGGAGCCGTCCGCCTTGCTGATCAGAATTTTCACCGTGTCTTGAGGTAGGAATCTGTCAGACAAGTAGACGAACGCGCCGCCAAGTAGAAATCCAACAAGACTTGGCACAATTGCGAAATTTCCATATCCCTCACTGAGTTCAATCGCTGGCGCTAGGAGAGACCAGTAGGATGCAGCGAGCATTACTCCCGCCGAAAAACCAAGCGCGATGTCGAAGACTATTCGGGAAGCGCCAGGCAAACAGAACACCTGAATGGAAATTTAAAGAAGTATTCCTTATTATTACTCACAAGAGCTGAGCCGAGAGCAGTAACGCCCCAAGTGAACAGGGTCCCCAGCGTCGCCTGAACAATCGGACTCGCCGATTCGATCATCTTTATCACTTTGCAACCTTCTCTTTTCTTTATGTAACGCTTTTTTCTTAATGAAAAAATAGAAAGAGGGAGTTTTAACTTTAAATATGAATAGTTTATTGTCAGAAACAATTGTTGTTTTTGGTCTTTGTTGGAACCAGCCGGATACAGATTTTACTTTTGTTGCAGTTAGTCTTTGTTGTTTTCAATGATTTTTCTTTTCAAAATTTGAAATAATTAGATTTTTGCTTCGCAGAACTCTAGTTTACTTTTTACTTAACAAAGAGAAGTTTACTTTTGAAATAAGAAAAAGCTCAATTCTTGACATGTGAATTCGATTTGAAATTGAAATTCTTTGCATGAAGAGTAGAAATAGATAGAAAAATAAACAAAAGAATATTGGGCACTGAGAAAACTTGAAAATGCTAGAGACGGCTCTCTGGGGAGTTGTCTGTCTTCTGAGAATTTTCAGAGGGAGGATTTGTGCTGTCCGTCAGGGTGGAGTCTGATGATGGTATGCTCGAGCTTTCTTCGAGATTTCGGGAGGGTTTTGATAAGATGTCCAGAATCTGAAAATAAGTTTATGCAAATTGTAAGACAAATACACCAAAATGATGAAATTAATTAAAAGCTGTTTTTTGGTTACGAAAAACACCTGAATGGATTCAATCTAGGGCGGGCCAAAAATATGGGGAGTTATTATTTTTGACTGGATTTCGCGACAAAAACTAGGCTTTGATTGGCTTTATTTAAATAAGGTAGTTATTCTTTAAAATTTTAAAACTAGGCCAGTAACGAGTCCTAGAAGTAGAGACAGTTAACAGATGCTGGCATATATGCGGTTTGATACATCATTTTACATCATTTGAAACATTTCATTTCAATTGAAAGGTCGGCAGACGGAAGTGGCCGCAAATGCTCTAGCATCTGTCTCCTCAGACACTTTTCTCCAAATTTCCGGGCACCTGCAGATACTTCCGTCCATCGATCTTTTAGTGTGTCAACATCGGTTGGGTAAGGGTCAGTCGTATCTGTCTCTTTAAATCAATTTCTGTGCCCACCCTGGAGTAATTTTGATTAAAAATCACAACAAATCACTAATTACATGAGTCGCACGAATCATCTGCTCTGATTCTACAGGTTCACTTACAGCCTGTCCAATATCTGTATGTAAGTTCCGCTAGAAATGGCTTAATCCGCACTCTTTCTTTGAAACATACCTTTGTACAATCTGCTGCACTGTCAGAGGAAATTTCTTCTTTGATGCGCGTGACGAAGAATTCTAACTCGTCGAGCGAAATTTCACCGTCGCCGTCTTGATCCATCGACCGCAGAATCTTCAAAATTCATGTTTAAAGCTATTCGACTGCGACCAATTATTCTATCAACTAAGCAACCAAAAATGTAAATGGTTTAAAAGAAAGTCGTATAAATGTTAATTCTTCAAAAACCGAGAGCAAATAACCTGTTTCTCAATAGAATCGTTTGTTTCAATAAACTTTGCGTTTAGTTTCAAAATAGACATGATCTTGAAGATTGTTTACGATAAGATGAAATAAAGAAGTTCTCACCTTTCCGATTTTATATTCAGTTACACCTCTAGCAGCGAGTGCTTTAGATAAAAATTTGGCTTCAACAGCTACATCTCCTGGTTCTGTGCTTATTCTCGCCGCAGTCGATTCTGCTTTGAAGTTGAGTTTTTCTGAACCCACTTTATTACCCCAAACAAAACTTCTTTCTTTACCAATTTGTTTGACAATAGCTGGATTGAGCAGTTCTATCCTGTCGTCGTCCAAATCTCTGTCGTTTTTTTGAACTCCTTCGAGCAGCTCATCTTTCGTCGCAGCCAGGGGTTTGAGAAGACGCTTTGTTTCTTTGATCGATTCCAAAATTGCTTCAACATCAGCAAGGGAGATTTTCATGCTTGAAACTCGGTCGTAGAGCTTTTTTGCGGTTGAGATTTTCAGCTTCAAAACTCATAAACTTTATGAGACAACATAAGGTCGATGTTTATTGATTCTGAACAGTGGTCGGAAATCGGGATTCTAGGCAAAAAGGTATGTCGAATACGATTGATTTAGGCCTTTAAGGGTCTGTCTAAAGAGCCGAGCATCGAAAAAAGGTCGAAAAAGGGATCAAAATTTGATAATTTTAACCGAAACTTTGAGCGCTCATCATCCACTGGTGCGGTATCGATGAGCTCTGGCGCTGGATCGACGTTTTCTTCTTCGACTTTGATTTCTTCCTTTCTTTTCGGCTTCTTTTTGTCGATCGACTTTTCCATCGCTGTCGTGAGTTTGGGCAGAGTCTTGGGCATGTAAAGAATCCTAGTGTAGGCCAGTAACGAGTCCTAGAAGGAGGGATAGATGCACAAATATATGGGGTTTGATATTCTATCCAAAATGAAAGGTCGGCAGACGGAAGTGGCCGCAAATGCGAGGGAATCTATCTTTTCAGATGCTTTTCTCCATAAATATTTTATCCAAAAATATCCAAAAAAGAAAAGTCGTACCGTCTTAGCATCTGCGATCGCAGACTGCGGATACTTCCGTCCACCGACCTTAAATTTAAAATTACAGACTTACCGAAATAACGGGATCATGTGCCAACTCAAGCCAGTCCAAGTACTGTCTTTCCAGACGCTCGCGAGTCAATCCCGCCGCTCTCATTCCGCGATCTCTGTTGAGGTCCTGAAGATCTTCGACTGGGATCGCTTTGATGCCGCGTTTCTTGTCTTGAATGATTTCCAACCATTCGATGTCCTGGTACTTCAGCTCGTGCAGACGCTTTCGGAGAACAAGACGGATCAGCTGAGTTGATTGAGTGAATTCTCCATGGGCGCCGGAAACGCGTTGTTTGACTTGAAAGAGAGGGTTTATTTAAATGAGTTGTTAGTAGAATGCATTTTTCCTTTTTAGCATTTCCTTAAAGATTAGCCTTCATTTTTACCTAAATCACGCAACTCCTTCGCTTTTGAGAAAATAGAAGTTTGAATATTAACATCTTGACTTACCTGGATTAGCTTTGAAAATTTTGCACAATGCATCGAGCGTTTGCCTGTCCATTTGCTCGATCGTCAAATGCTCCTGAAAAATGGGCGCGAATCGTCGAATATCTTGATTTGTAATCCATCTGTGGCCGTTTCGCACTTCTTTGGTGAACTTCATGAACTCGGTCATTGTCGCGTTGGTTGCTGCTTTTTGCTTCTTTTGAACTTCGTTAAGGGTCTCGTGTAGGAACGATGCTAGGTCAAGTCTAGCTAAAAAGACGGGGTTTGAATTGGAAGAAAGAAATGAGGAGGCTACCTTGGGTCTGCTTAATCGTCCGCTGTTCTTTTTGAGAAAGAGTTTCGAAGGAACTCGGCATTGCTGAAGGAAAAATCTTCAAATAAACCTAAGAAAACTTTAATAAGGGCGAACAGAAGACGATCTACCGGAATAAGAAGCTCGGCTCCAGGAATAATGACGAAAATCGAAAACGGGAACATTAAGAATATGTCGGCCAGAGCTCGTTTCATTCGATTCCTTTCGATGGCCGAGACTTGCTCGCCCTTCATGATTCTTACCGCGATTTTCACTCCGATCTTTTTGGTATCGTTACTACTTCAAGAGCCAACACAACTTTTTTTCTATGGAAAATATGCCGGGTTAGGCGGATGTAATGTCGAAGTAACTTTTTAATTTTGCCGACAAAATCATTCTAAGGAGTTCCAAGTTACTTCCAACCGTCTGTTCTAAAGTCACTAGACACCGAACATCTTGACTTTAACATTTATAATGACGTCTTGAGGAAGTAACATCGACATTTGGACCATACCCGGCATTTTCTTCTATTTTTCATAAATAGGCGTTGGACGTAAAAAAGCGATATTCATCATCCGATCATCGCATGAAGAAGAGAAAGGGCTCACTCAAAAGCTCTTGCTAATGGCTTTGATTTGGGCTTGTGAAAATAAAATCGGGCGTCATCTCCCTGTTTGGATTCTTTCAGATAACATTTTTCCAAGGTTGCGTCCAAAGTCAAATAACTAAAAGATGAAAGAGATGGCCCAACTATTTATTGACCCAAAAGAGAGCCCTTACTAAGACCTCTCGGATGAGGTCGCCCTCTTCCCCATAAGATAATCCGTGGTCATGGAATCTTACTTCCAAAGCCCATCGGATAGAAAAGTTTCTTAATGATGAAGTAACAATTTCCTTCGAGTTCAGCCAAAAAAGCTTCAGCGAGCTTCCAAGATGTTTAATTCCGTGGACTATATCGCCTCCAATCTTTTTGAACACTAATCCAGTGAAGATAATTCTCTTTACTGGGCTTAAAATCATCGGCCAATTCTCGTAGCGAGACATGTCAATATCAGATGTGTAATTGGCGAGGCCTCTCTTCATCTTGCCAGGAATTGGTCGAACGAGAGGGCCGACTTTCGACCAAAGAGTGATTTTCTTCTGGTCGTTGGGAGGAGAGTGGAGGGCGATGCTTGTGCTGAGTCGACGAGCAGAGAGGGTGGAGCTTGGTGATAGGGACAAAAGAGATACAGGGCCGCCATTTCGAGACATCTTAACGAGCGAATGATAGACGCGTCGATATGCGATTCTTGGGAGAAAAGATACAAACCTGTGGAATGCTCGAAGAAAATCCACGAGACGACTCTTCCAAAATATTTTCAAATTGCAAGACAACTCCATCTTTTAGCCTTAAAATCGGCACTTCTATCGAGCAGGTTGATCGAGCATTGAACGATGCCGTCTCGTCCGCGCTTTCTAGGTTGCCGCTGTTCTCATTTCCGTAAAAGATCTCCGTAGGAATAACCCGGGCGAGAGTAATATCCGGTCGTGGTAAAATAGGTAATCTATTAGAGCCAGCTGAGCGAGATTTTCCTCGAGCTCTAGCTGCACTTTTTCTCAAACATCTTGGAGTCCGAATCATCTGAAGAAAAAAGGGTACAATTATCATGAGGTCAATAATTTCAGTCTAATTATCAGTCAAAAATAAACACGGAAGAAAAAAGGCCGAAGATACAATATCTTATCCAAGGTCGTTTTCAGGCGTTTTTCATAAATTTAATTCAAAGTCCAATTTCCGGATCCTAATCAAATGCTTTTGGCGCTTCTGTGTCGGCAGGACTAACTGGCTATTTCACGGGTTCTCTTTTGTAAGAATAAAAATGTCTTGAATTTGAGTTTTTTCTGTCTGCTTGGAAAAAACCCGCGTACAGAAAGACAACAAGGGTTAGACGAGTTAACACTGATTTTCTTGCGTTCAAAGCCTCGAGGGTTGTTTGAATTCATATTACGTAACTATCTGATCACTAGAAAAATGCTAAGTAATGAAAATCCGTTGCTTGAGCATTTCAGTTCCAAATCGGTTCATAACCAAAGCGCCTCCCTCAATCAGCGCAAGAAGAAGGGCTCCGATCGCTCCGGACACCATCGCTACGGGAATGCCCTGTCGAGCGGCCAGGACGAAACCAGTCGTTCCTCCGGCGATTACGCTGTTCATCATATCTTCCCGACCTTAAAAATTCATGAAATTAGAAGAAGGCGAATGCGATTTCTATCGGTCGATAAAAAAAATAGTAATTTCGATTCTTCTCGGCTTTCTTAGAAAATATATTCGTTCTTCTCTTGAAGTACAGTCTAACTTACGTCTGATAGCGATCAAGGTACAGTCACACATAGAAAAGCAAAAGCCCCAAGCGGCAAAAGCAGCTCCAGTTTTAGGCGCATTTTGTCGAACAACACGGCCCATTTTTCGAAACTCTCGCTAAAACCCAAATCAAGGATGAACCGAAACGCCTCAAATTTACCCTCCAAATGGACTTTCCAGAGTTCCAAACAGTTCCACCGGTCAATCCAAGCGCATAAGCGCCGCCCATATCTTCAACCAGCCGCCAGGGACACGGGTCTCTCGTGAAATCAGATCTAGTTCCGCCGCCCTGGACCATTCTAAATTTCAGCTTCTTTGAAATTATTTTTCTTAAAATTTTTTTAATAAATTTTACCCATACTAGGGTTGCGGTTTCTTTCTTTGGTTTTTTCGACTTGTCGATTAAAATCGACAGTAAGTGTAAGTGTGTGACAGTAACTAAGACTGTAAGAGTAAGTGTGATTTTGCCAGGAAAAAGGGGGAAAGGGTGAAACTGGTACCAGGCGGATATTGAAAGCACTAGAATTAAGGGATAAAAAGGGAAAAAAGGGGGGTAATGCGCGAGATAAGGGGTTAACCCCGGCATTTATAGGGATCTATAATGGGGATCGAGCCTCCAGAATTAGCAGGGCTTGGTCCAAAAAACAGGGAAAGCCCCAGAATAAGGGGTAAAGGAGATTTCAAAGTAGAAAGATAAAATAAGGTGGCTTTATTAGTTTCTGTGCTTATGAATTGGTGCTTCGAAGACCTTATCTTTTTTCAATAAAATGGGATAAATAAATGCGTCTATTGTTTGAAAAAGAAATATTTTAAAATAAGAATTTTTGAATTAAAAGTAACTGGCAGCAAGAAATATCTTTTACGAACATGTATCCATTTTTTGACATTTTCATTATTTTCAAATTTGAAAATGAAAAATAAATTTTCAAATTGGTTTTCAATAATTTTTCTGTAAGATCTTGTTTTTGATCTTTTTTCTTTTTGTAGCGCAGTGAGAAAAAAGGATGAGAAAGAGAAGAAGAGTTTTTTTTTGTGATTTTTTTTTGGTTTCTTTGAATTTTTCGATCGTTTTCCCAGTTTTACTTCAGTTTTTCACTATTCGCTACTTTTGAATCGTTGAATCGCATCTGGTCCGTAAGGAGCTTGATCCTAAAAGCGGAAATGCGTTTTTAAGACGGTAATAAGGTGCTTACCGCGTCTTTCCGAATTTCGCATGAGTCGCCCAAGCCCCAAATTTTACCAGAAAATTTGTCCGGATCGACCACGTCCTCGAAAAATAACGAGCGCATTTTGAAGAAAGCCTGAATATTCCAATTTTAACCACTCTACGACAATGACCAAATTGTTCTACTCGCTCATAAATCAAAGGGGACAAGCAAAAACTTAAAAGATGATATTTTTAAATAAATTGCCGAAATCGAGAATCCGCTTGCGGCTTCAAGTCAAAAAGAATAAACGAGCCGCGCGTAGCGCGGCTTTGATTTCTTTGGACTCGAAGCCGCAAACAGCTTCTTGATTTTCAGCAACATTTATTGAGAAGTCGGGGTCATTAGATCTAACATGAGCTAAATATCAAAATATAGACCAAATTTAGTCGTTTTTGTTTATAAATATTCTTCCAAAAACCCGCAATTTTCAGAGATTCTGAGTTTACCTGACCAGTAAGGAGAGAATCAGAGCCAGCCTGATGCTGTCTCCCCACTCGTTTAATTTTCATTTGATCGGCGATGTCTTGAAGGCCGCCTTGAAGCTGTTTGCAGCTCTTCATGAGGTATTTGATGTCGAAAACTGTCGGAAAGTAGAGTTTCAGCAAGTCGAAGAATTTTTTCTCGTCTTCTGGCAGTTTATCTTCTGTTAATAGCTGAACAGCGAGTGTTAAAAAGGTTGTTCAATGTCATTATTAGAAAACTAAGTCAAACAAGACTGAGGGTCGAATTTTCAAAAGAAAAAAAGGTCTGGGAATCGATTTTTCGGGCAGTAAATTTTAAGAAAACATCAGAAAGTCAATATTCACGGAGGATACATTAAATTTCAACGATTACAAATTGCCCAGAAATTGAAAAATAATAACACACCTAAAAGACGAGAACCCGCTTACGACTTCGAGCCAAAGAAAATTCTACCCGCGGCTTTCTTCGTCTTTTTTCACTCGAAGCCGCAAGCGGCTTCTCGATTTTCATCAAGTTTTATAAGAAAATCTTCTCCAAAATTTTCATATCTTTTACTGAAATCGTTTTCATTACCTTGAGTAAATAACAAAAATCATATCCGGAATGAAAAGTGATCCAATGAACCCTGGGGGTCGTGTCTAACACCACTCCGCTGGTAATGAGCATGTAAGCGAAGGCGCCAGGGTCGATGCCGTCGATCGAGTGTCGTTCAAAGTTGATTCCGCAGTTTCTCAAAAGTGTGATCGAATCTTCGGCGTACATGTCGGTCTTGATATCGTATTTGAAGTTGAACTGGAAGGTGCAGCGGCCCGGCGCGCACTCGCCTTTTTCGTTCATGAAAGTTAAACCGATCTGGATCAGTTTTAGCAAATCCACGTTGCATCGAATCAACTAAAATGGAAACAAAGTTACTTTCAGAAATAGATCGCCAAGTTTGAAAATGCAAGAAGCCGCTTGCGGCTTCGAGTCCAAAAACAAAGTCCCGCGAAGCGCGGCTTTTTACAATTTTTCGCTCGAAGCCGCAAGCGGCTTCTCGATTTATTTTTGGTACAGTATCAACAGTTTCTCTCAAACTTTTCAGATTTTAAAAACTTTCTCTCAATTTTAGAATTTCTAGCTTGAAAAATGGAACTGAGCCAACTTTAAACCCAGGTAACCGGTCTTAAAAAGACTTGAATTTCGCTTTTGATAAGAAAAAGAATTACCCCGCGGTCAAAATAAAACACAAGCGCTTATCAAAAATACGCGTGTTTTTCTTCACACTTGACTGAATTCATGTTTTCACCTGGTATTGGTAATCGGAAGTTGTGTTGAATTCTCCAATTGGTCTGGCGACGACTCCGGGGAATTCTGTGTCCATCGAGACGAAGGGGTACTGTCTGACGATTTGGCGGACTTGTTGGAAAGCGTCGTACATGTTCGACTGCCAGACCTGAAGAGAGAAAGGGGATGAGAAAAGTCGATTCCGTGGGAAATTGATAACGAAAATTAGTGACGAAAATACCTCGAGAATACGGGGATCTTCCTCTTCTTCCGGCTGCACTGGCGGGGTAGCCGAACCATACGGCATCCCCATAGCTATAATGGACAAATTAGGGGTTGAAAAATTATTTCTAAAATTCTAGTTTAGCGAGCGAGTTACGATAAAATGAAATTTGAACTTTTTTCTTGGGATTCTAGAAATCATTTATAAACATTTTATTTTCGATGGGAAATTATTAACGATTAAATTATTAAAATATTGATTTTTTTAATAATAATGGGAATAAATGGATAATATGAAATAAAGTCAAATAGAATTTTTAAGTAGAATTTTGATAAATATTAATAAATTTCAAAATAGAAAATAATTGGTTTTTGGCTCGAAAATTATCATTTTTAATTTACGTTTTTTTCTAGAATTAAAAAAGCAGCACCCGGCGAAAAACCTATTTATTTATTTATATTTGAGATAAACGATTGTAACATTACGTAGTCCGAATTTACTGTTATTCTGCTGGAAGGTCCACAGCATGTCTCAGTTTGGGGTTGTGAAAGTTCCTAGCAGGGAATTACACTATGAAGCAGTGAAGAGACTGCGCGCGCCGCTCATTGGCTGAACAGACCAAAGAAGAGTGCTGAATGGGCCAGATTATTGACTTGGCTTTTTCTGAAGAGAGCAATTTTAATTGAAAATGATAAATTTAATGAAATGAATAACGATAGCATTGTCACGACACGTAGGGGCGTACAGATTTTTTTTCCTTTGGAAATTTACTTTAAAAATATTTTTTAAAATGAGTAACGAGACGATCATCACATGCTGCCATTCTCTGTATTATGATGCAGTTTTATGGCATTTTCTGCCAACTTTTGTCAAAATTATTTACTATGAAATTTACCCTTAGAAAATAAATTATTCCGGAAAAATATTGTAAGGAATTTATGTTTCAAGCGTTTTGTTTATTTCTATCAACGAGAGCGACTGTAGTAAAATGATACGGTAGATTGGAAAAGCGGAAGTAGATCTACACAGTTTGGATTGATTGAATGAAGTACCATGGTAGCTAATGTCTTCTTTTCTTCTGCATGGTTTTATAGGGTTTCGATTTTCCATGCTGCTTTTTTCTTCAAATTCGTGGCATGGTAGAATTCCTACGTCTTCCAGGTCTTGTCTTACGCCTCGTCTTCAGGTCTCGAGCGAGAATGTCAAAAATCGCAGCGAAAAAAGTCGAAGAGAGTCGCTCAGAAGGTCCGTCTTTGTCTTCTTTGACTTCGGAACGACTTGACGAAAATAACATCGCTAGGTCGAAGAACACGGCTCTGCAGAACTACTGCTTCGAATTATACATCATTTCCAAGGCCTTATGACAGACTGGATTGAACTGACTTCAATGAATTTCCTGCTATAGCAATATTGACATCAAGGAAGAGTGCTGAGAATCTACATTGCATGCTCGCTTATCCGCCTTGTAAGTCCAATTGAATGAGAGTATGGCGAATCAATATTTCGCAATCAATGTTGGCGATAGCTTTATTTCAAAGTGCATATGTGCGGCAGCCCAGTATATGTCCACTGGCGCGAGGTATGTCACATTCTTTGTTTCACGCTACCAGATACTCGATCAATATCTGACCTTCCTTGCTCCCGCTTCTTCTTCTTTTGCCTAAGTCGAGCATCAAATTTTACTATTTAATAAAGAGTTATTTAGAGAAAAGGTCCCTCAAGCCTTGAGGCTCAAGGAACCAGCCTTTTTTGAACCTAACTTTGAAAATTCTCACTGGTATTTTTTTCAAAGAAAAAGTTCTTCGAGGAGCGCCGTGGGCTGTCTTCGATTCCTCCTTTTTTCAATTATTAATGAGCAAGCGCCTGGTTTTCAGAAGAAGTACCAAAAATAAGGTTCAACCCCCGCAAGTCAACGGCTTCATCAACAAACTTTTTTAATAGAGAAAGAGGGGGTTCAACGATAATTTCAGGCAATTTTTTTTGAAAACAAATTTAAGGGTGTCAACAATGATTCCACTAATTTGAAATTTATAGTATTTATAGTAAGCTGGCTCATGATAAAGAAAGTTAATAAAAGAATTTATTGACTAAATTGAGTATTGCGAATTCGCCGATATTGATGATTCTCATCGACGGGTGGATCGATCAACCATTACAGTGAACATACAGGGAACTCAGCATTCTTCATTATGTTCTTTTTTTCACTCTTCTTTTTGAAGCCTTGTTAATAAGATTTTTTATACGTTTTAATATCGGCCGCTGATGCACTTACAGAAGAACTAATAAAAAGAGAGAGAGAGGGCTAATATTATTGACTGCATCAGATTGTGACGGGTAGGGAATCGATTATTTGTATAGTGGCTGACTGTAGCTCAGCCGTTTTGCTAGTATCTATTAGCGATAAGAGTGCTCCCTTAGGATCGCTCGGAGATGCTTCCACTCACCAATTTTGCCAAAGAGAGACGACTTAATTTTATATACACAGAGATATATCAACATATACTGTATACTGTATATGATATACATGTCACATGTGGATCTGTTTTTCAGTTCTGGCAATGTAAAATTTGGGATACCCATTCTATAATGCGGACATTCAGGAGCAATTATCCCGTGTTGACCCTTACTTTATATGGATTTTTTATCATAATTCCCACAAATTATGGAGCTAAATTCTATTATCAAAAAATATTCCAAGCTTTCCCAACTCCCCAAGAGCTTCTTTTCATCCCCCTTTCTGCACAGTATAAATTCCCATGTGCCGTGTCCTGACCTTATTTATATCGACTCCCAAAACAAACTCTAACCATCTGCCATTTTTTTTCTTTCAGATAGAAAATTGCGATACTGTGCGTATAGCCCTGCTGATCCGAGATAAGCGTCAATTGATTTTCTTTTTGCGAAAAAAAACAGGAGCGCGTACTCTTCAAAGTTTAAAGCAGAAAAGGTAAGGCGCAGATTTCTTATAAAATATTCTGTTTTTGGGGGAGTTGTTTTGGAGATGAAAAATGGCGGCTATTAGCGAGTAATTATAAAGTGTCCTTCAAGGCAGTTTCCAAGGCGGTTTCGTCACGAGCAAAGGCATTAATCGATCTCGGTTCGGGCCACTCCTCAAACGAGAAAAATACACATTTATTCGCATACCCGCAGAGAAATACCTATTTGGACACTTTTATTACACATTTTGCAGTTTTTGAAAAAGGGTTGATTTAATTTTTAGCTTCGATTTTAGAAGAAAAAATCTAAAAGAGCCGAAATTTTCCGACCAAAAATCATTAAAATTTGTCGTCAAAAATTTACTTTAGAATTCGCCATATTTTGGGACATCTCATATCCATAGGTTAAATTAACCCTAAAAGATCAAAATTACTGCTGCTGACATTAAAAGTCGCTGAAAATATGTCAGAAGGTTAAAAAAATGATATCAACAGTATTTGTGCCTCTGGCTAATTTTCTCCTTGACAAACTTGACTTTGTGTCATTTTTAATCAAAAACATATTCTCCGTGATATATTTGTTTAAATATTAACCCGAATAATTATTTCATTTACAGCTCCGCGGCGCTTCTACGACTTGCAGATGTCGTCCCCGTCAACTTCGAAAAATGATGCGACTGATCAAAACTTTGACTACATGTTCAAACTGCTCATTATTGGCAACTCTGCTGTAGGAAAGACGTCATTCTTATTCAGGTAAAATTAAAGTTCATCTTCTTTTTAATTTTCAAATTAAGCGATTGACGCCCTTAACCTTCGATTTAGATACGCAGATGACAGCTTTACCTCTGCGTTTGTTTCGACTGTTGGCATTGATTTCAAAGTAAAGACTGTACAGAGGAATAATAAACGAGTCAAGCTGCAGATTTGGGTAAGTCCGGGTAAATGCATCACGTGGCAAATAAATTCGGCTAGGATACAGCGGGCCAGGAGAGATACAGGACGATTACTACGGCTTATTATCGAGGAGCAATGGGATTTATTCTGATGTATGATATCACTAATGAAGATTCGTTCAATGCTGTTCAGGACTGGTGAGTTTTCGGGCTCTAGAATTCATAAAGAACGCTCTTAAGCCCTTAATTTTGATCAAAAGGGTATTAAAGATGATGAATCAATAATTTATTTTCAAGGGCGACGCAAATCAAAACATACAGTTGGGATTCCGCTCAAGTGATGCTCGTAGCGAACAAAGCAGACATGGAGAATGAACGTGTCGTGTCGACCGAGCGAGGCGAAGAGCTGGCAAGGCAATTAGGTAAATTCGCCACGCAAATATCCATCTTTAATGAATGCTCACACTTAGGATTTGATTTCTTTGAAACGTCAGCGAAGGAAAATTTGAATGTTTCGGCCTCATTTGACAGGTAATTAATTTAATTTCATATCTGACTCAGAAAAGCTCACTCAAAGTTCAGTCGAGTCCTTCGTTAGGGTAAGGGTTAGGGCTGGGGTGCGAAACGGGGCAAGGAGTATCGGTGCCCCGTCCCGTCCCGCTTGATTTTCTGGACTCGGTGCCCCGTCACGTCCCATTTTGCCCCGTTTGCCCCGTTTTTTTCACTCCAGTTTTTTGTTAATTTTTGCCTACATCTGGTGCCCCGTCCCGTCCCGGTCCCGAAACGGGGCAAAACGGGGCACGGGACGTGGGAGTTGTCCCTTTGCCCCGGTCCCGTTTCGCACCCCAGGGTTAGGGTATCTTTTAGTCTTGGACCTTTATCGAGGGGGTCTAGAAAAGAACCTTTCTTACACTGAAAATGTTAAGACTCGTCGATGTTATTTGCGATAAAATGGCAGAATCACTAGAAGAGAGCGCCCAAGCAGCATCAACTGGCACTCAAAATCTCCACGACGTTGGCCAAAGCGAAAACAAACCGCCATGCTCCTGTTGAAAACCTGGCGGAGAAATATTTCCTGAAATATCATTTCAAAGAAACCTTTTTACTTCATTGTTGATATATTTCTATATAACCTCCTTATCCTTATATTTTAACTTATCATCCGTCGTGCAATACAAATACAGAGTTTTACACATCACAAAAAAACAAGCTTTATTATTCTTTTTCAATTAGCAGGGAGGACATTTTCACGCATTCGTCTCATGCTATTGCCTGGCGGTGAGTATCGAGCGACCACATATGTTTTGCGACCTGTTTTTGCCGCGGCGTAGCACACTTTTTGAGTTCCGATCCAGACTTGTTGCGTGAAATGGAGGCACTGGCGGCCTGGAGTGCAAGTCAATCTAGGAGAAAATAGCAAAGATGAAGAAAATTCGAAAATATTACTTTTGAAAGTCCCAATCTTTCCATTCATCGTGCCACATTTGCGTCGCCAGGAGAAAGTTGCCCTCAACGCTCATATCGTTTACTCCAAACATGAGGTTTTCTCCTTGCTTGAGGCTCTGTAGAAGAGCACCATCGTGGGAAAGTCCAGTGTCTCGCTGAGCAAGGAGATTGGCGTAAGATTGAGCATCAGCACATAGTTTTGCATCGACTTCCAGTGGTGGAGCCTAGGAGAATTCTTTGCTCAATAATTTTCGCTGTTATAACTTACATGATGAAGAGCTCGTTTCACATTAACATCTTCGATTGTGTTGCAAATCGCTGCTGCCTCTGTATTTCCTGGAATCAAGGAAGAACACGACCCAGAGAACGAAGCTTGGTTATCTTCGATGATTACGGCTGGGGCTGCTGAGCTTTGAGGCTGGGGAGGAGCAGTTGGTTGAGTTGTTCCGGGAGTAACAGGAATATCAGCGCATTCGAATTTAGAGACATTTTTTCTCTTGAGCTCTTTGCTGACGAATTTGTAATCGCATTTGCCGGATCGCTTTTTGCACTTGCAGTTGATCTTCGTTTTGAGTCCAACTCCAAGCTGGTTGATTCCAAGATCGGGGAAAAATTTTCCAGCGGCGCAGCGAAGATTGCACGATCGTGTTTTTCCATCCTTGCATTCGGCCAAAACGTCAGCGGCTCTTTTTGGCTCTGGATCGCAGCCGCCACAATCGGGAAAGGCTTTTGCCCAACCGCTTTTTCGACAGCGAACTCGAGCTTTTCCAAGGGGCATCAAACCCGGCTGGCAAATGACGGCGCAGGTAGAGCTGTTGCATTCGAATTTCAATGCGTTTTTGGGAAGAGAAGGTTCGCCACAGGTTTCGAAGGCTTTTGAGTTTCGCGGACCAACTGGGAAGCCCCAATTGAATGAGGAACGGCCCTGAAGATAAAATGAATTTTTCTATTTCGGAAATACTTTTTCTTGAAACTTACCTTTGATGCTTTTAAAACTTCTTCATATTTAGGCTGAACCCAAGCTCCTTCAGTCGCCGAAAGAAGAAAAGCCGCAGTATTAAAAATTTTCATATTTTCGCTGATAAGGCTTTATAGTATTTATAAAACTTATCTGCTGAGTTGGATCTGAAGGCTTAGGAGCAACGTAGCATCACTTTATTCCTTGGTCGATTTCACGGGCGACCGCGATTACGAGGGTTTAAAATTTCAGAATTCATTAGCGAGCGTAATGATTTCCCATCCGTTATGCGGAAGTCTCTCGTAAAAGTAGCTCTATAAAAGACGCTAGGCTTCATAAAGACAAATTAATTGATAAGACATGATCATTTTGATTTGTTATTCGTTAATTTGGGGGGAGTTTTTCGTCTGACTGTCTCAACTTTCACCAAATTTAAGAAGAAAAATACATTTTTAGTTAGAAAAATTTATAGCTGGAATTATTTAAATGGAGAGTTCTGATTATTATAGAGAGAGTCAATATCTTGACAGTTCATACTCGGACTATTTTTCGTTCCTCCCTGATCCTTTTGAATGGTCTTCCGAATCGCTTGGTTACGATTATGACGATATAAAACAGTGGACTCCATTTAAACCCGGCAGAAATTAAAAATATAACTACATGCACGTCATCAAGGTAGTATCAAGCACATCGTGAAGCTCATAAAAAAAGTTTACAGCATTGTCTCCAATAAATTAATTCAAAGTCTGTTGGCTAATTATCCGACCCAACAAGATATTTTTCTTGCTGTTTGAAATCAAATATTGTTATGAAAAAGTCTCATTTATACGCAGAGAATTATTTGGACGTCTACAACCCTTACGGCAATGACTCCTATTCTTATTATATTGATTCAGAAATTGGGATGTTGATGATAAAAAACCGCAAAGTACTAGCCAACAGAGCACCTTGTAAGATCATAAAGATCATAAACATTCTCGCATAGATCGCTTGATAGAGCAGAGTTACATGTCTTACATTCCAGTTCCTTTTCAACTCCCTTCCATAGTAGATCAGATTGGAGGACTCCATTTCGACCCCCTGATCGTTCAATGAGAGATTTTGCTTATCCATTATTTTCAGATTAAAATGGCTATGAAATTAACTTGAGACTGAAAAATCTTCCCTTGACCAGCTTTATGACAATTTTAATGCCCAAAATGTCTTTTTTCTAAGTAAGCAATAATGATCGCCAATTTGGCTTTGATAAGTTTCGAAAAATGTTTTCAGGCAAAAAAATCACTTTTTAACTGTTTGTGCCATCTTCACCGCCGTCTCAAACCGAGTCGAACGGTATATGTATCTCTTGAAAATTCTAGAGTTTCGGGTACTTCCGGTCAAATTTACGAAATTCTAGTTTTCCACTGCCGTTTTTGATACAGAAATGGTACTATGGCATATAGCATATCAAAATGACCGCTAGGACGTGAGGAGTGCAGGGGTCTCAAAAAATAAGTACTTTTGCAAAGAAAAGTACCTAAAAATAATTATTTTGTGATTTTTTAGCACTAAAAATATCAAGTATTAATTTTTTCGGGCAGAAAGCAGATGGATAATCAAGTTTTATCTCTTATAAATAAATCTACAAAGAAAACTACATTTAAATCGAAAATTTCTTAAAAATTGATATTTTTAGTGCTAAAAATCACAAAATAATTATTTTTAGGTACTTTTCTTTGCAAAAGTACTTATTTTTGAGACCCCTGCACTCCTCACGTCCTAGCGGTCATTTTGATATGCTATATGCCATAGTACCATTTCTGTATCAAAACGGCAGTGGAAAACTAGAATTTCGTAAATTTGACCGGAAGTACCCGAAACTCTAGAATTTTCCAGAGATACATATACCGTTCGACTCGGTTTGAGACGGCGGTGAAGATGGCACTAACAGTTAAAAAGTGATTTTTTGGCCTAAAAACATTTTTCGAAACTTATCCTTTGTGCAACAAAAATTTCTAAATGCTCAAATCGCGGTGAACGAGGTCTAAGTTCACGGTGAACTGCTCACCCTTTTTCTTTTATTGATGGCTTTTTACGAAGAAAAGAGATCTTATTTCAATCGGGAGACTTATGCGTGGGAATACAGTGAGTACCAGTATAATGGCTCCGGTTTTGGGTACCGTGGGCGAGAGATATCACGACGGAGTCTGAGGGCCCGGGCCGGGGTTTTGAATATTTCGCGCACATTCAAATATTTTCCCATGCTTGATGGAGGACTTTTATCTGGTGGAAGACCAAATTGATGGAAGATAGGTCTAACCTAGACTATTTAAGATAAATTAATCTTTAACTTATAAATAGATAATAATTTTAAAAAATCTTGATCATGTGACTCTTGGAGGACCCTGGAGGACTTTTTCTGGTGGAAGACCGGCCTTCCTGGAAGACCCTTAAAATTCAGCCACCTTCCATGATTTTTAAATTAAAGGGGCTTGACCTTCGGGCCGTCTCAGCCCCGTCTCTGGCAAATTTAAATTAAGGGGCTTGACGGCCCGAAGGGCCGTCTCAGCCCCGTCTCTGGCAAATTTAAATTAAGGGGCTTGACGGCCCGAAGGGCCGTCTCAGCCCCGTCTCTGGCAAATTTAAATTAAGGGGCTTGACGGCCCGAAGGGCCGTCTCAGCCCCGTCTCTGGCAAATTTAAATTAAGGGGCTTGACGGCCCGAAGGGCCGTCTCAGCCCCGTCTCTGGCAAATTTAAATTAAGGGGCTTGACGGCCCGAAGGGCCGTCTCAGCCCCGTCTCTGGCAAATTTAAATTAAAGGGCTTGACGGCCCGAAGGGCCGTCTCAGCCCCGTCTCTGGCAAATTTAAATTAAGGGGCTTGACGGCCCGAAGGGCCGTCTCAGCCCCGTCTCTGGCAAATTTAAATTAAGGGGCTTGACGGCCCGAAGGGCCGTCTCAGCCCCGTCTCTGGCAAATTTAAATTAAGGGGCTTGACGGCCCGAAGGGCCGTCTCAGCCCCGTCTCTGGCAAATTTAAATTAAGGGGCTTGACGGCCCGAAGGGCCGTCTCAGCCCCGTCTCTGGCAAATTTAAATTAAGGGGCTTGACGGCCCGAAGGGCCGTCTCAGCCCCGTCTCTGGCAAATTTAAATTAAGGGGCTTGACGGCCCGAAGGGCCGTCTCAGCCCCGTCTCTGGCAAATTTAAATTAAGGGGCTTGACGGCCCGAAGGGCCGTCTCAGCCCCGTCTCTGGCAAATTTAAATTAAGGGGCTTGACGGCCCGAAGGGCCGTCTCAGCCCCGTCTCTGGCAAATTTAAATTAAGGGGCTTGACGGCCCGAAGGGCCGTCTCAGCCCCGTCTCTGGCAAATTTAAATTAAGGGGCTTGACGGCCCGAAGGGCCGTCTCAGCCCCGTCTCTGGCAAATTTAAATTAAGGGCTTGACGGCCCGAAGGGCCGTCTCAGCCCCGTCTCTGGCAAATTTAAATTAAGGGCTTGACGGCCCGAAGGGCCGTCTCAGCCCCGTCTCTGGCAAATTTAAATTAAGGGGCTTGACGGCCCGAAGGGCCGTCTCAGCCCCGTCTCTGGCAAATTTAAATTAAGGGGCTTGACGGCCCGAAGGGCCGTCTCAGCCCCGTCTCTGGCAAATTTAAATTAAGGGCTTGACGGCCCGAAGGGCCGTCTCAGCCCCGTCTCTGGCAAATTTAAATTAAGGGGCTTGACGGCCCGAAGGGCCGTCTCAGCCCCGTCTCTGGCAAATTTAAATTAAGGGCTTGACGGCCCGAAGGGCCGTCTCAGCCCCGTCTCTGGCAAATTTAAATTAAGGGCTTGACGGCCCGAAGGGCCGTCTCAGCCCCGTCTCTGGCAAATTTAAATTAAGGGGCTTGACGGCCCGAAGGGCCGTCTCAGCCCCGTCTCTGGCAAATTTAAATTAAGGGGCTTGACGGCCCGAAGGGCCGTCTCAGCCCCGTCTCTGGCAAATTTAAATTAAGGGGCTTGACGGCCCGAAGGGCCGTCTCAGCCCCGTCTCTGGCAAATTTAAATTAAGGGCTTGACGGCCCGAAGGGCCGTCTCAGCCCCGTCTCTGGCAAATTTAAATTAAGGGGCTTGACGGCCCGAAGGGCCGTCTCAGCCCCGTCTCTGGCAAATTTAAATTAAGGGGCTTGACGGCCCGAAGGGCCGTCTCAGCCCCGTCTCTGGCAAATTTAAATTAAGGGGCTTGACGGCCCGAAGGGCCGTCTCAGCCCCGTCTCTGGCAAATTTAAATTAAGGGGCTTGACGGCCCGAAGGGCCGTCTCAGCCCCGTCTCTGGCAAATTTAAATTAAGGGGCTTGACGGCCCGAAGGGCCGTCTCAGCCCCGTCTCTGGCAAATTTAAATTAAGGGGCTTGACGGCCCGAAGGGCCGTCTCAGCCCCGTCTCTGGCAAATTTAAATTAAGGGGCTTGACGGCCCGAAGGGCCGTCTCAGCCCCGTCTCTGGCAAATTTAAATTAAGGGCTTGACGGCCCGAAGGGCCGTCTCAGCCCCGTCTCTGGCAAATTTAAATTAAGGGGCTTGACGGCCCGAAGGGCCGTCTCAGCCCCGTCTCTGGCAAATTTAAATTAAGGGGCTTGACAATGGCTGGGAACTCCGAGGTGATCAATCTCAGTCCCCAACCCCGCCCACACCCATCGTTTTTTAAATTCAAATTGACAAAGTTTTCAATTATGTTATGGTTTTGAATATATTTTTTTCAATTTAAAGATTTCTTTTTATTTTTATTTACAAATAATTATTATTAAGTTTATTCATTATTACTAAATGAAAGTCAAAGTTATAAGAATTGAAGGAGGAAGAAGTTTCTTAGGTCAATTTTTGAGAAAGGTGAATTGTGAAAAATGTTTCTAGACGGGGCGTTGTTGTTGTTCTTCGCGGAGGACCCACTCCCACGTGGCGCAAGATGCGCGCCAAAAAGAGCAAAAAGATTGGGACGAGAAAAACACGCGCAAATGCCCCAATCTATTTCCCCCTCCGTCGTGAAATCTCTCGCCCACGGTACTTTTCCTATTTGCCGGGTCCATGGAGTCCACCGTCTCCTCAGCCAACTATTCACAACGAAACAAGTCAAAATGAAACCATGGAAATTTCTCTACGCAGCGAAAAGAATCTGCTGCCCATTTTTATTCCGGTTGTATTTCTTGGAGGAAGCATGATTGTGTTTCTCCTAATTGCTCGATTCTGTGGCTGCTGGTCCAAAGTGATGACTTCTTTTGCGTATGCAAAGGTTGTTTTTGCCATGTTTCTTTATATTTTTGACGTTGGGTAAGGCAAATTTAAATTCTACGAGTGAAAATTTTATCATGATCTTTTAGCTCGGACATTTCCCTTGGAATAACGTACTTGACAACCGAAAATTACGTCTGGGGCGTTATAACACTCCTAATCGTGCTCTTTGCCGGTTCAATTATTGCTTGGACGTCTTACAACTCTCAAGACATTTCTGAAAACGAAAGAAAATCGATCTCCGTGAAAATTATTCACGCCTTCCTGCTTGGTCCCCTTTACCACATGTTCAAAGAAATGGGCTCGACCGCGGAGCTAGGATCTGATCTTTTGAAAATAAGATTTATTGAAGCTACGACAGAGGCAGCCCCACAGGTAATTTCAAAAATAAAACGGCGGTGAAAAAATGATTTGTTTTACACAAAGAAATTTTTCCCATTTTCGTTAAAAAGAACTAAAAGGCTTCGTTTGTTTAACTCCTTTTAGCTTTTTCTTCAATTTCACGTGATTTACACTTGTCGTCAAACAGAGAACATCACCAACATCACCGGTTCTTTTTGCCACACAATACGAGATCGAGAAGAGATAAACGAGATGATTCTTCCGATTCTAGCGCTTGTGACTTCTCTTCTTTCATTCACCTGGACAATAACATCGCAGAAGAGGGTCGTTCAATTTTCAAACAAGCTCAATGGATTTTATGTTTTCTACATTTTTATAATGGTTATTTTCTTAAAAGGGGGCTTGATCATTTAACTTTTTTAGTTTTTGCTTCAAATCTTCACAAGAATTTATCTTCTCTTATTTATCCTCCACGAATTGGATGAAACTTGGGGAACGATGGGCGTCATTTTTGGCTTTGTGATTCCCTTGATTCTGCATTATCTAATCCTTTTTTCCATTGGAAGAAAAAACTCACAGAACGAATGGCTGCAGTCCTTTTCAAAATTATTCTTTTTCGATTTAGACGACAAAAATCGCCTTCTCGTAAGCCCTTTCCTTTTGAATCAAAATTCATTTGACAATTTTAGGGACTGGTTAACACCGTCATCATTAATTTGGAACACATTTCCTTCCTCATAGCTAGCTTTCTGATTTACAAATATCTTTACGATGTGAATCCTCGTTTTGACCCCCTTTCCCCAATTCTGATTTCAACGAGTTTGCTCTTGAATCTGCTTTGGTACTTTGTTCTTTCGCGCAAGTTTCGAACTGTTTCTCAAAACCCGTCCAAATGAAAAATATTGTCAATAAAATCAGAAATAATGTAACAACTAGACTTTATTTGTCAAGAACAGATTGAGACTGTAATCAGTATGGAAGCAGAAAGAAATGATTAGTTGAAGAATTCGTCCATTGCTTCTTGCTCACAGGACTTGATGAAAGTCATCAAATCGTCAAGGCCTTTCAATTGGTTCTTCTTGATTTTAAGTATTACTTAATATAAGTATTAAATGAAGTCGGTAGCGAAAACTATTAGAAACAAATGTAGGAATTCACTGGCTTTTTGCTTGTCATTTTGAAAAAAATAAACTCGAATGGATAATTGCCTGAGAGTCTTCGCCTTTTATTGCAACTGAGATGCTCCACTTCGACCTAGTAGTAAATCAAAATGCAATAAAAATGCTTGATCGAACCAATTCCTGTTCCGAGACCGCTGAGAGCAAAGGCCTTGTTTACACACTCATCGACGTATGCTGCAAACTTGTTGACAATCGGTCCACTTCGTTTGAAGGGATGACGCTGAGTAGCTCCCATGTCTCGCAGCGCTTTTCCGAGAGATCTGAAGAGCTCGGCTTGTCCTATAAAAATTGTTATAATGGGTCGAAATGCCTGGGCAGGCGTTCTTGATTCAATGAGATTCAAATTGAGCCCTAAAGACTTTGGGCTAAAGTTTGGTCAAAAATAAAAGCTGAGATGTATTTCCCGCTCGCTCAGCTCAGCTCAAGAGAAAAATTTTGAACGCTACCCTGGCCGAAAAATCCAAGATCACCTAAAACACCGGCGAAAAAGAAAAGATGTATGATTCTCATTGCTAAATCTCAGAATGCTCTCTTAAGACTTCTGATGCAGATTTTATATGCCGAGTGCTGACTGTAATCCAATAGTTTTTGTACAGGTGAATGCGATTTGCGATGCAAATTTGTCGATATTAGATGCGAATTCCGGCATTATGCTTTCACTGATTACCGCTAATTCAATAGTTTTTTGGCAGTCAGTACTAATTTAATTAGTCTACTTTGAATAAGTCGAACTTTGACAATAACAGCATCCGCTCTTGAGTAAGTAAGAAGTTTGCCAATTGCCATTGATTCAAGAGCAAATTCATTTGATTCTAGAGTCTAGAAAATTAAAATAACAAAGATATCGCAAATGCTTGAAAAATTCGGTATGTTAGGCTCTTTTAGATTGAAGGTTCTAAAAGAATCAGATCAAACAACAAAATGATAATTTTTTTTTTGATCGCCATCATTTTTGCTCTTTCCAAACTTATTTCATTTTATTGAAACACTCTATACTTAGAGAAGTAAATTTCATGTGCTTCAGTTAAGAGATATATCTCATCTGGGATCATTGTATTTTCATAATTTTCGTTCGCAAGCCATCTATTCTCTCCGTTCTCTGCATTTTCTCTATATCCGCCTGTAACTCGTTGGACTTCTCGCATCTTTTCTTTTAAAAAGGTTCTCAATATAAGCTAGCAAGGAATATCTAACGCTTCGATCAAATAAAATGAAAATGCAAAGAAAATAAAGACCCCTCAACTTCAGTTACGTAGTAAGGTTTTGATCGAGGAATTCGCAAAACTACATCATCAAAGCTCCAGTCAGTATTTTGAAGGACATATTCGTTGGTTTTAGTGTCAATATGGTCAAGTACCATTTGATGAAATCTAACTACCCCATCTTCAAGATACGCACCACAAACAGTCAATGGTCGGGCATTGTCGAACTTTTCATGAAGGCTAACTTGTTTGAAATATAAGTTATTTTCATATATTTTACTTTCTATACAGTTTTTTCCTTTTTTGTGGACATATTCTCTATTTTAAGAGGTTTTTGTTGGACATAAAATTTAAGATAATGTTCCACTTTTATGGACATTTTTTTCCCTGAAGAGGCAAAAATAGTATTTTTTTTACAAAATCAAGGCTTTTAAAAGAAATCAACAGCTCGTGTTATTAACTTCACTGAATAAAAAATACATAGAAGCAAGAGAAAGGCATCTTGAGGATAAAATTTGCTATCTTTCCGTTTAAATTTTTGTAAAAAAAAATTTAACGTCTCGGTAAGAAATTTTTTCGGGGACTCTCGCCCACTTTTGTGGACATTTTTACAGAAAATTAGGACAATGAATACCAAAAAAAGAAAAAAAAACTGTTGTACCTGTGTAGGCCCTAAGGTGAAAATCTGTCATGTATTTATTCATGTATCTTTTGATAATGTCCGATCCACTTTCGTTGAAATATGTTGGATAAACTAGCCGGGAAAGGATAACACCAATTTTTATTTCTTGATCATCTCGGTTCTTCTCGGGATCCTTCCTCGATGGATTCAAATTTAAACCGGCCAAACTTCTTGGATAGATGATCATAGTGAGGAGGTGAAATATTTCTTCAAAAGTTATGTCCCGGTTGTCGATTTCTTCGAGTGCTTTTTTTATCAGAGTCATTAGAAGAGGTTGCAATGAAATCATTTTTATTTAAAGTCTCTTCCAGTATAAGCTCAAATCACTTTTTATAAAAATCTTATTATGTAATATAATTTATATCTTAAATTGCAATCTTTTCCGAAACAGCAATTGGAACGCAAAGATTTGTATCTTTTTGGTCGAGGACGCTGCAAGAAACATTGAAAAATGCTGTTCTTACAGTTTTTGTCAACCGTTCTTTTAGATTCGAATTGTCGATTGCTTTTGACATTTGAAAACTATCGAGAGAATGCTTTGGAATCAACGAATCATCCCATCCAATAACTTGAGAGAATGCCTCGTTTTGTATGTTATCGATTGATGGAATTTCATCAGATCGCAACCATTCTGCATTCGATTGCTTAAAATATAGGCAAGTCAACCCCGATACGTCTGTATAATACAGACCTTTAAAAATTTCGATACTTGTTCTCTATGCTCATCAGAACCCAATGGATTGTAAAGCAGATACCAAGCAGTTTGCCAGTCGCAGAAGATAAAAACAAAAATGCTTCTATTAAAAAACCCATTTTTTGAAGAAATTTGATCCATCTCGCAAAAGCCTGCAGAGCCAGCTCCTGAATTTTCTTTATAATAAACAAATCAAATGAAACTTACGGAGATTGTTAACGTCCTTGTATCTTGATCCATGCCGTGTGTATCCCATTTTACGATAACCAACTCTCCCTGTTTGTTCACAAAGAATACCAAAATCAATAATACGCGACTCATCACTTGAAAGCAGCACGTTTTCCGGCTATCAAATGATCATGCAAAAATAAACTATTAAACCATTTAAAGTTTTATTCGACAAGACCTTCCTTAACATCGCAGTGCCATATTCCTATTGAGGAAAGATACTCAAAACCTTTTTTTACACCAATCGCAATTCGTTTTCTCTTTGACATACCAAGATATTCTGGCTCATTTTTCGGGATCTTTATTTTTTCTCGTAAATTTGAATTGCACAACTCCATTACTGTTATCCAACCAAGACAGTCGGACTCAAAATCGCAAGAATCAAATATTTCAAAATTCACAAAGTGTCTGATTATATTTGGATGATATGGAACCACTTCTCTTTGGAGCGCATTTTTCTCCGAAGAATATTGTGTGAATATTTGATAACCCGTTGGTCCTCCTTGCGTCAAAGTTCCACTTTTCGTTTTCGATATTTTATCAACTGCTTGATCGAAATCTAGATAAATTTTTATTTATCTTTAACTTCTCAATAAACGGGAAAGAAAGTCAATACTCAAAGCATTTTGTCCAAAAACCGACCACCAATCATTTTTAACGAAAACTTAGGCCAAACAAATAAATCTTTTCGCAGAAATTGAGGGCCAAAATCGCCATAATCGGTTTGACCGACCTTGTGTATTGAGAAGTTCATATCATTTTGTTACTTACTTTTGAGATAATGAGGTTCAAAATGCAAGTTTCGCTCAGTATTTTTAAATCGAAAGACATTTGGATCAAATGGATGGAATCTTATTGCTACTTCAAGATCCATAATTTTGTCTTTGACAATTACTCCTTCGCCTCCACTTGAAATAATTTGCTTCGCATAAGAGCTTTCTATAAAGAACTGCCCTCTCTCCGGTTTCAGCTCCGAACGATCAATTTCTCGCAGGTTATCAGAGTTTTGCAGAAGAAGTTTTTTCTGTAGTGGTGTTTGCTCGAATTTCCATTTAAAACCAGGCCCAAATAAAAAACCTTTATCATCTTTGAACAAGACACTTTTCCACCTTCCAAAGCTGTCTTTTGGAAAGTACATTCTTTCAACAGACAAGATAAGCCGGTCTGTGTCATTTCGACTTGTCTCTTTTTTTAATTTGCCAATAAATCTCTTCAGCCATGAATTAACGTTGTCTTCACTCAGCTGAGGAGGATAATCTTGTGTAGGAGTGGCAAAAATCATCTCACAAATATGCCAAATTAATGAAAAAATTGGCTGTCTTTTGGAATTAAACTAAGACAATGCAAATATTTGCGACTCAGAATAAAGTCAAATAAATGTCAATGAACAAAGAGACAAAATTGAGCTTTATTGAAATCATAAAATTTATTAATCAATAAATTCAAAATTTTGAAAATCCAATCATCGCCAAAACAAGAGTTGCTGAAACTTTGGTGACGAAAAATCCACCTGGCAGGAAATCTTCGTTGCACAAGTCGTACTGGCACATGATGCTCGCGTCTGCCTTCTGATGGTGGAACTCGTTCAATTGAGTGTCTAAAAATGATTAGAAAAAACAAGGATTCGATTACTTTTCTGCGTGTTGCTTCCTTCAGTTCCATTGCTGCAGAATCGATTAACTTCTCGGCTCATTTCTTGGCCTTTGTACTTAATTTTAATGAAAAATAAATAGCAAGTAGAGATGAATTTACGGCAAAAGATTGTCGAGAAACTTCGCATGTTCCCCAGCAATCCGTGATATTGTTCTGCATATCTTCAGCCGAATAGAGAATTAGAAAATCTAAGCTCTCCTGGCTTTGAGCGCCGGTCTAGAATCGGCTTTTTTTCTGAAAACCTAGTTCTACCCCCTTAACTTTGATGACAAGAAAATTTTCTTTACCTTCGCTTGTTGAGAATCATCTTCGTAGTGAGACCATCCTTCGCACTAAAGGGTGCGTATAATGACCGAGCGAAAAAAGGCTGAACTCACATTGTAACAAGGCTGACTATGAGGAGCAGAAGGGGTTGGTGGCGCAGCAAGATCAGGTCCATCTGGCTCTTGGATTGGAAAAGTCACCATTTTGGAGCATTCATCAACGTCAGAACCGCAAGAATGAAGCTCAAGAGTGTGCAGAGCCCCATCAAATTTTCCCTCGTAGTCGTATCCTGAAAATTGAAAGTGAAGAAATCAAGGAAGAGAAAAATGCCAAACCTGGCGCGCCCTGAAGATACTCAAAATGCCCTCGCTCGACGAATGTAAACTTTACAAGAAGCTTGAATAAATAGCAAATTTCTGTAACTACAGATCATTCTGAAAAAATCAAATGAAGCTTTTATCTGTTATTTTTCCATTACTAGCTGCCCAAATCAACGAGAACTGTCCGTAAGAAATTTCACCAAAAAACTTTTTTTCGAAAAATTATTCTTTAGCGAAAATGATAAAGAGCTAGCGAAGATCTGCGAAGGCAGATGCTTTGACGATCTTGAGCTTTGTTATGAAAAATGTGACTCGGACCAGCTTTGTGAAAGAGAATGTCTACTACGACTTGAAGAGTGCCAGGATTCTTGTCCGTAATTGTCTCGCTGGATTTGAGGACTGGGCGAATCCAATTTGTCTTTCCTGTCTTGATTCCGAAAATAATCATCTCTATAAAGAACAATGCATGGAAGAAGCAAAAACGACTCATTATTCCTGCCTAGAAATTTGCGGCGACGACAGAAACTGTTTTGAAGAATGCTTCGATCAGTTTCTACGCGAAACTGACGATTGTCCTTGCAACAAAAATTGTCCTGATGGATGTCATTGTCCTGGCTTCAAATGTCAGCCTTATATCACCGTTCTTTGTCAAGATAAAAAGGAGTTTGCCGGCTACTCTGCTTTCAGCTATGCTATTTCTTCTGATGGCCATTTCAAAGAAAATCGTCATTATAATTCTCCAATTTCCAGCACATATCCTTACTTGTTCAGGTCAGGATCTGCTTTGCTAAAAGGAGAGGTTTATATTTTCGGCGGAATGCAAAATGCAACCAAAGTCGCGAAAATATCTGACTGTGGCTTTGAAGAAATCGGACAGCTCTTGAATGGATTCGATGTTTATTGGGGCTCACTAGCTGCTCTCCCAGAAAAAGAGAAAATCATTCTATGCGAAGGGTACTCTTCTTCAAAATGCGAAAGCTTTGATGGTCTTATTTCAACTCAAACATATGAAACCAGCTATCAGCATAAATACGGCTCGATGGCAGTATACGAGAACTCAGCGATAATTGTTGGCGGACAAAGTGATAAGGTCGAAATCATGGAAGAAAATGGATGGTCAGAAGCAAGGGCTTTTCCTTTTCTTGTCTCAGATGTTAGTTGTGTTTCTGTTGATGACGGGGTAATTGCAATAGGAGGATATGCTCTCGATCTTCCTGGAAATATCAAAGATGTTTTTCTCTACAGAGCCGGAGAGTGGTCGACAGTTGGGAAACTTCTGTCGGTAAAATTTAAATTGGTTTTATAGTGCTTTCTTGATCAAATTTAGTTCTTTCGCTATGCGACTGCGATATTTTTCGGCGATCCTTTCATCGTCTTTGATGGCAATTTCGACAAGAAAGTTGAACGAGTAGAATGGGATGGAAGTTCAGTCACATCTTCAGAAATTATTAACGAACACGAAACAACTTGCTACAGGCCTATCGTTTTTCAACCGAACCCGATTTCTTCCTGCGATGAAGCCTGCGATGATTTCTGTTACTCGTACTCATAATGTTTTTCTGAAATAAATTGAAAGCGCTCATTTTATTTCAGTGTCAATTCACATTTAAGATTTTGGATAAATTATAAAATTTTTGATCCCTTCTTTCCACGCATCTCTGTACAATCCTCCAAAACTACGAAAAATTTAAATGCACTCCTCTTTATCAAATTTAGCTTTACCTGACGCCATCTCCTTCTATGTCACATTCGAAATTTCCAGAAACAAGATCGTGGTATGCCCACTCAAGATGTTGGTAGTCCTTGAATTTATGAGCAACTGTTAGCCCTCGTAAGCTGCAAAGATGATTTTTCGCGATTGCCTCTTCTGCCCAGATTAATCCGCAGCAAATGCTCTCAGACCGAAGCAGTGTATCTCTGAAGGATTTAATTTCCCCGTAAAAAAACTCGGACTACCTTTTTCCTGCTGCTTCAATTAGTGATCCAATGTAAACATCATCCAACGGCAAAACAGGAGCATTCGAAATTTCTTTTGCTAGACTCAATGCGAAATCACCAGTTGTTAGATATCCAGCTCCAGAAAAATATTGAGGATAAACATCTTTTTCCCACAGCTGCTTTGGCATAAAATATTTGCTAAATTCTCGAATAGGCGTCGGTCGCTCTTTTAGGCAGCCTATAGCTTCGTAGAAAATGCCGTTTTCTCTCTTGAGTTTGTTCATTTCCATCTTAAGATTTTGTGGAAGAAGGAGTATGTCATCATCGCCCTTGAAAACGAAATCCGCTTTTTGACACGATTTCTCGATGAATTGAAGGAAGCCGATATCTTTGTACGGGAGGCCGTAATGATTTTCTTCAAAGTCAAGCACAAGCAAATCATTGTATGTTTTAATCTCGTCTTTAATCACCTCCTCGTCAGGGCGGCCAATTATAAAGACGATCTTTATTTCGATGCCAAGCCAGTTCCATATTTCTTCATTCAGCCAAGTTTTTCGAAGAGTTTCTCGTGCAACAACTGCGTCTGGCATCGTTTTTATTCCAAAAAGAAGTGAAGTGAGGTTTGATGAAGGATCAAATTGGCAGTTTTCTGGATGCGCCAGAAGTTTTGGCTTCAAATTCGGATTGAATCGCATCAGTTTGTTGATGTACGGCAGGCCTAAATAAATTGTTGGAGAAATTCTTGAACAATAATTAACAAGTTCTGTACCTGGATATACGCATTTTCCATCCAAGCCCCTTCGTTTGATTCCCTTCAACTCTGGGTAATTTTGTTCAAGGAGTTCTAAATCAAGAAAGATTTCATCTTCTTCGGGAAAGCATTCTTCTCTCTGAATTAGCCAAGAAGTTTCGTTTTGAGAACTTTTGATGATACTAGGACCTCTTCTCAGCTCAAAGTAATCATTAATTCCTACGACCCCCATGCAGTCATCATTTTCCTCGCAAAGTTTCTGTGAGCTCTTCAGTGAGGAATGCTTCTTGCAATTATCAAAAGCGCAGTTATGAATGAAGTGGTTTTTCAGAAGTTTCCATTTTTCTTTCGGTTTCTCTTGAGGTTCTTTTTTGGGATATATTTTTTGATAACTGATTTTTTCAGCAACAATCGGTTCTTCTCTCGACTTTGTGGACTCGAAAGAATACACAATTATCTAAATTTAACTTTTTTACAATAATTTCAAGCTTATCCGAGTAATCTTACGATTAAAACGATCAAGCAGGAGTACTGAAGTTGCCTTTGTCGTCTTCTTTGTCTCTCCTCTTTTCTCATTTTCGAAAGAAATTAAACTTTTTTAAATTTGAAGCAGGATGCGTTCAAACATAACCACTTCAGCTCGAAACTTATAGAAGCGACTGCCACTTATGAAAGTATTAAGTCTTGTTCCCGCAGACACAGACGTATGTTATCCCAATAAAACTTCATTATTGGGTAAGTAAAGATGGAATTTTAATGAAATAAAGTGTGGGAACGCCAATCATTCACTGGAAGTCGTTAAAATTAACCTTTTATTGTCTGTTACTCTGTTGGTTATTGTCGCTTCAGAAAGCGGCAAAAAATGAGCAGACAGAGATCAAGATCGAAATCTAACTGCGACCTAAGACAATGGTTTGATAAAGTCGACAGGTTTGATGGTTTCCAATTGCGAGAATAGATTTAATGTTTTCTAGGTCAGAGACAGGGCGATTGAATGCTGTAGAGCTGCAAGAAGCTCTGATGAACAATGATTATACGAAATTTGACATGCATGTTATCATTGCTATGATTGACATGTTCGATGACGACAAAACTAAGGAAATCAACTTTGAAGAGTTTCAAAAAATCTGGGCTTTTCTTGGGAACTGGAGAGAGGTCTTCAATCAGTTCGATGTTGACAACGGAGGCGCCATTGATGCAGAAGAGCTAACTGCAGGTTTGAAATCTACTGTTTTTCAGGAATTAATGATTTTTAGCTATAAGACAGCTTGGATACAATTTGTCGAGGCAGTTTATCAATGTTTTGATGCGGAAATTTGACTTTAGTGGCGACGGATTTCTTCAATTCGACGGTTTTGTGATGGTTCTCATAAAAATTAGGCAACTTACCGCCGCTTTCCAGGTAAAACTTCCCAGTTGAAACTTTTTTTCACGGTGAAAATCTTTAGCCTTTCGACAAGATGCAGAATGGTACTGCGCACTTTACATACGAAGAATTCCTGACTGTCGTTCTCCAAAACACGTGATTCTTGCACAATAAATGATCCGTCGAAAAAAGTTCGTTTGTCATGCATTTTTCATGCTTGGATCAGTCGAGAAGTCTGCGAGACAAGGATAACAACCACCCATGGACTTAGGGTGCACACATACATTTTAGCATATTTGGTAGTTTTGGTGATTTTCGTTGATGCTTTTGTTACGTAAGAATTCCATGTCAGTCTCGAACGCGTAGTACTACATTTTCTGTTGAATTGAAAATCACATGATGGTTTTTGCTCATCCGCGGGGCATCATGGGATCAAAGAGGCCTCTGGCTACCCTAGCGCACGGGGCGTTCACTCCCTAACCTCCTCTGGTCTGGCCGATCTTTTCGCGTGACCATCATAACTACTACATTTCTCCCTCTTTTTCTTTCTTTCCTAGAGCTAGAATACCTAAATAAAACGGCATAAAACATCGATGAGCCTTGCCAGAGCCATTCCCTACCACATCAGAGAGCAGCTCAATCAACGATTCGAAGACGTCTTCCGAGACGACTGGTATGTTCAAAAACCACATCGGTCGACAGAATACGCGTTTTTTTCTTCGACTGAGTCATTGAATGAAAAATCTAACGAAAATAATGCTACGAGACGAGCTCTCTAACAGTCTGCAGCTGGCCGGGTTACTCTAAATTTACTCTTGAATGAAAAAATCGTGAAGAAAATAAATGACGATGTTTTTCGAGAAAAATGAATTCAATCCAAATAGAGACCCTTTTGCTGAGAATTTCGAAGAGGTCTTGGATCAAGTCAAAGGGGATTTTCACTATTCCTTAGCTAAAGAAAGGTGACTTTTATAAATTTATATTGGAAAAAATAGGGCAGCTTTTATTTTTCAAAGGAAATTGATATACGTCGATAAGAAAAATAGACATTTTCCTTTGATTATCTGAGTATCGTTTCGATAGAACCAGTTGCTAATGCCAAATCATGACTGTTATTATCCGCAAATTAGAAGTACTGCATCGTAAAAATTCTCTTTTCCGACCGAAAATTCTAGCTCTTCTTCAGGAAGAAAAAATATTTTCGGACCGAGAAGCACGTTCTGTCCCGTGCTACTTCTGACGTCAGTCTGGGCGTTCGATGACCTAGCCCTAAAGGCGAAAAAACCAAAATCACAAGTTCACTTTTATTGCTCGGTCAAACAATGGAGAACATATATTTTCTAATATTTTCTCTTACTCTGGTTTTTATATTTCCCATGTTGCTATTTTATGTTGATAAATAAGCGTTGTTGTCCTATCGATGGTTGTTGGGGGTTGTTTTCAAGCTTGAAAATGACTCCAAAAGAGTTGATTTACCAAACCAATTGTTTTTTCATTATTTATTAAAAATCACCGTAATTTGGTCTTTCGGAACTTACGTGTGCTAGAAAAGAGTAAGGTGATGATTTGTTTTGATAGTAAATATAAGTTTTGTATGTTGGATTTGCTGAAAACTATAAAAAATCAATAAAAAATTATCTTGTTAAAATCGTCTTCTCAAATAATTCTCTGATCGACTGCATTTGAAAAAGAAGGTCAATAACTTGTTTTTCTGACCATTTTAAGATGTATTTTGTCGGTTTCAGACAAATCTATTTGTTTTACATTTGTCTTTCCACCTTTGTCGGAAAAGACGGTCGATGCGCCACTCAAGACGGAATAAAGTCGACTATCATCAGAAAGTCAGAAAAAATCTACAGAAGTCAGAAAAATAGTTTTACACTTTTTCGTTCACCGGTTTGAAAAGAACCTTGTTTTGAGAAAAACTTAGGTTGCATTAAAATTTTTCTCTTGAATCAGCAAAAGGGAGGAATTGTTTTTCTATTGTCTGGCAGAGAATTTTTAAAGCGAAAAAAAGGGAGCAAGAAGGAGAAAAGGCTTGTTATGTCTTGGAGGTACCGGAAATCATTGAATTATGGAAACCATCAAATAACTGCGTGTTTTAGTCATTGTGCCCTTGGCGAGTGTGGCCAGCCATTGAAACCTTACGAAAATGCGACGGAAGTTCAGGAAAGAGCCTAAATTCTTGCTTCAATATTTTTCTCGCCAGCGTGATTGAAAAGTAAACACGCTCGCTTTTGAATTTCTGAATTTGTAACGAGCATGACTTTTTTTTGTTTTATTTGCCGAACATCATAATTCATGATTCAAAAAACTCTTCCAAGAAGACCATCGTCAAGGGAGTTCATCTTTGATAACCCATAAATCTCCAAACATCAAATTTGAGCTCATAAAAAAGTGCACAAATCCGGACTGCGATCAGCCGACGGTCATGCACAATCAATGCTTTCAAAAGTTTGAGGAGACGCTGCTCGAGGGGCTGTCTCAACAAGGTAGGGAAAGGAGAGATCTTGTGGAGTTTGATGGTCTGTCAGACTGGAGTTGGACTCTTGACCGTGGCGCGTATTTGACTTTTGAGGATTCAAAAGATCGTAAAAAATGATTGATTTTGCAGGAAATCTCAGAAAGATTCACTGTTCTTCCATTACAGGCATTTTGCAATGATTTTGATATTGAAAATTAGTTCAAAATTAGTCCGAAAGCGGAAAAACCAAATCCCATATTTCTCGCCCGCGGCTTGGGCTCTATTAACTTTCGGTCTGATAGCCGCAACTGGTGGCGCAAGTTCACTGTTGCCCTCTCTCCTGGCTTGAGATTGCGTCACGTGACGGCGACTTCGATCAGCTTTGGCGCGCTGCCAGTAAGAGGCCACTATTGCTGCTGCCCCGTCCGCCCGTGACCACTCAAGCCAAAAATAATTTTCAGCCAACTCTGAAACTCGAACCCTTTTTTTTAGCGAGATACAAAACAGCCTCCCCGAGAAAAATAAAGAACCATCTGTGGACGGAGAACGCGTATACTTTGGTCTACAAGGTAAATTAAAAAAAAATATCAAAAATTTTTTTGAAATCAATAATTTTAATAAAATTTTTTTTGAGAAAAATAAATTTTTTTTTTTCGAAAAATATTTTCAAATGAATGACTCATAAATTCTAGTTGTGCACCTGCGAGTGCTCAAAAGGCATTGTTCGCCCGGCGTTTATGAAGCCAAAAAACGAGCATCATCACAGATTACGAACAGAAACAGGGTAAGCTCTTCCCGCCATTCACAAACAATCGCTTCATAAATCATTATTCAGCGATTCTAATGGATCATCGGGCTATGGCTCGGCTCCTGGCACCTCTCCATCTTCGGGTTCGCATCCGTCTCCTCCAGAACAGACAAGACCCGTCAATGGTAAGAAACAATGACGATTTCTTATTGGCTAATGACCTGAAATACTGTTTCTCATTTGACGATTTTCTCGATCGACTATTCATTGTATTAAAATTCTCTCTTCATAGAAACAAAACCGAAAGGAGGAACAATGGGCGAGTTTATCGATTCCGAGATCCCCGTCATCCTGAAGAACGCAAAAGTCAAGCGAAAAGGAAAACGCTCTATCGTCTCAATTGGAACTGTCGTCACTGATGTCCAGACGGATAAACATGTATCTGATCTTACGCAGAAAGATCTCAAGCTGCGGCCGATGCGCCACACGAATTTCAGACACAGACTCGATTTCAAGGGAATTGAAGAGTATCTTCCTCCGCACAAGTTCAACTCAAACCATATCAAAGTCGATTGTGAAGGTTTTTGAAAAATCTTTATTTTAAAAACTCATTTCGAACTTGAAGGATATGCCATGGAAGACATGAAAACATACGTCCTCTCAAACCTGTCCATGTGCGGCGCTGACGAAATCTTCTGCTCGGTTTGTCGGATCCGAATGCCAGTTTACGACCAGTTTCCGCTCGTCAATGGGCTTATGTTTCTGTCGCCAGATATTAACTCAACTGAGCATCCTGTTTTCGTGAGTGGCACCGAAAATAGAACCGTTCTTCAGCTAGTCTTCTTCAGGTCAAAATTGACGGACAGAATAAGTACATTCATGGCGTTTGTGTACAATGCTTGGAAGGGAACGATGTCGAATGTGGCTATTGCAGGGTAACATGGTAAGTTTGATGAGGATGATCTTTATCTCACTGTTAATTGGTTTTCATAAAGATTCTTTTAGGTCTGGTGGTGAATTTCAAATTGGTACTCTTTACAAATTCGATATTTTCGCCGCGAAGCCATGCTGTGAAGCGAGAGTCTGCTGTAAAAACTGCAGTAAGTCTCAAACAACCAATGCTTCATTTTTGTAGAATTGATAGACTAAGAATCTATTAGGAAAGCCACTGGGAGATTACCGAGTGCCGCGCGCGTATTCCTACTACTCAAAACGAGAACGATGCCACTCCTGCTACGCTGTTGACTATCATTGCATCAACCCGATGAACACCTATCGTCTCAGGCCAAACCAACCAGGCCCAGCCTAATACGTTTCAAATACGAGTGTCTGTTTGTCTGTTCGTATTTATGACTGATTCCGAAACCCCAGTGACAAACAGACCTTTTCGAAAATTCCCCATTTGGACCCTAAAATTTTCAACCAACCATCTTTCAATCTCGAAATGGTTTGGGTATTTTATCAAAAAAAAAAAATAATTAACAAACTAATTTTCAAAATCAGGAATTTTCTTTCCTAAAGCCTACTTGAATTTCTTACAAAAATTCAAGGCACGGATCCTGAAGATCCAATCTTCACGATCACCCAATTTTACGTCCAATTTTTGTCTATTTCTTGTCCAGCAAGCGATAGGCCACCCTTAGTACCAATTTTCAACGATTCAAAAAACAACAACAAAAATGTGCTCTCCTCCTTGTTCTCTATTTTCCTTATCTTCTTCCCAAAGATCAGAAGGTGTCGCCGATTCTTCTCTATTCAACAAAACGTTTAAAAAATATTTTCAGCAAAAACAAAGAAAAAAACCCCAAGTACTCTTAAAATCAGGTCGTTCTCCTTGCTTCCCGGCAGAATGCCAGTGGCAAGCTTGATTTTGAAAGTGTGGAGGAAGAAAAAACTTTTAGTACCAATTTCTATCACGTTCGCTATATTTCATTCATGTGGTTTCAATATTTCAATAAAATTCTTGTTCGATAAAACTTATTAAAACTATTTATTTTGAAAGCAGGGGAAAACAGATAAATCAAGAACTAAAGGAAAATAAAGAAGTCGATATCGTCTCAATTTGTCGGCATTCTTCATCAGTAGATTTTTCGAACGTCGCTCATCTGAAAAGGCTCCCGGCAGCTAGGGCAATTCTTGGGGTTGAGAGCATTGAGACATCGGAAGCAAAAGGAGTGAAAGCACTTCGTTATGCACGATTGATGGTGGAGATTTTTGTCGAAAGGCGAGAAGCATACTTTGCAGCAATTATCGTCAGCTGGCTCTAAAAGATGAAGTAAAAATAATTTATGTTTGGTAGCAAACCTCGGTTCGGTGTTTTGGGTTGTTTTTCCCTGACTCTCTTTTTTCTTTCGGATAATGATTGGAGTTTCTTCTGAAGGTCATTTTTATTTCGGGCTAGCCGCTCATTCTCATGTAGAAGATTTTCTATTTTTGAAGAGTTGTCATTCATTTTCTTTTCGACAGTCTGTAGTTCTGCAGAAATATCTTTTTCCTCGATGAAGATTTTTTCGAACTCGTTCCTCATTGATTGTAAATTCGAGTTCATTTCTTGTAACTCATTTTCTCGCGAGTTCAGATCTCTCTCGATGTCTTCAGGAAGTCGCACGTGATGAGAACCAGTGGTTTTGACCCTTGATTTGGGCTTACTCGTTGATTTTTCGGGAAAACGAGGTTGGCCAGATGAAGAACACTCGGATTTTCGAAAATGTTCGAAAAACTCGTTGAAGGTCAAAGAAGCTTCGCATTCCATGTAAAAGCATTTGAAGCGAGTTTTTATTAAACTTAAAGTTCCGGGTCTGTACTGTGTACAAAATTTGCATTTGCATCCTTGCTCATGAGTAAAACTCTGCACTGAAGCACAATCAGTGCAAAATGCATTGATACCTTTGAAACCGTCATCGTTGCAATAACAGTAGTAAAATTTCTTTGGAGCAACACTTTAACATCAAATGAGTCTATTTCAGTTATTCTTAATTAAACTTACGAGCATATTCTGCATTTCGCAACATAAGTCGCACTATGCGAATGCTTCCGACCATCAAAGAAGTAATTTCCATCCAAATATTTTTCCGGAATCTCTTGTTTTTCAACACTTAAAATAGGTGACTGCCTTAATCGTCGTTAAAACGTTGCATCGGCTGCCTTAATCGTCGTTAAAACGTTGCATCGGACTGCTTTAGTCATCGCTAAAACGTTGCATGGGCTGCCTTAATCGTCGTCTGACTCATCTTGCCTTTTTCAATTTCAAGATAGGTAGGCGCGCGCCAACCAGCGCTTTCAGAGTGTTTCTAGACTTTCCAGATTCTCCCAAGACGACGATTAAGGCAGCCCAATGCAACGTTTTAGCGACGACGATTAAGGCAGCCGATGCAACGTTTTAACGGCGATTAAGGCAGTCTCCTATTTTATTTGCGCCACTTTCGGGGACATCTAGCGTGTATAAAAAATTCTGAATTCAGTTGAAGCGAACGAAAAATGAATTTTTACTATCGCGTTATATTTACCGAACAGAATTCGCTCAGCAAGTCTCATTCTGAAACAATGTATACTGTATACAGTTTGTTTCCATTTTTCCGGAGTCCATTTTTCCGATTATAAGGCATTTAAGTGGGGCACTGCAAAATTAACCATGGTCCAATTTTCCGAATATTATCCAAATTTTACTGACATGCGATCATTTTTTGTCAAAAAAGAATCAATCTACCGTTGAATAAGGGTGCGCGTCTTTTCTGGCATTTTTGAGAAATGCGTCTTTTCTGGCATCGCGTTCTTTCTGGCAGTCGCGTCTTTTCTGGCACTGGAGTCTGATTCATTTTACTCTGATATTGAGTAGGGTCTACCAAATCTAATAAGCTGATTTGAATAGCATAAAATCTTTACCTTCAATAGCAACTTGCCACAGGCAAAACTTTTTATTTGATTTATAAGTTTTTATCATCAAAAAATAGTGCTGATCATTTACAGTGTGAAGCACTTTTAAGGCCGATTTTCGGATGACAGCGAATTTCAAAAGTGGCCTTAAAATAGATATTTTTGTCCCGAGTCGGATGACAAGAAATTTTTCCCTTTTTTGGACAAAAAAGTATAAAAAATTAATAAGGCTTTCATCAACCTCTTGATGACGTCGCATTCTGTCGTCTTCAGAAAAAGATCCGCGTTTACATTAAAGATTTCGTTGTCGAACATGATCACTCGAACATCAAGGAAGAAGATCTCGTGAATCAGGCGAACGAAATCTTCATGAACATGAGCCCTGCAATCTTCAAGCGATCATGGCTCAACAAAGGACTACTTCAAGAGGATGATTTTGAAGAAAAATCGAGCAGTTGAAGATCTCGAGAAAGTGTTCTGGAGAAACAAGAGGAAAAATTGGTCGAGCATTTCCTAGCGTTTCAAATTGATGAAACACGTCCTTCAACATTGAGAGTGTAAAAAGCCTTAAGTTCAAGGGACAGACAATGCCGACGCTGAGAAACCATTGACTTCATAATGGCCGGAGACGCAGTCGAATATGACTAGTTTTTAAGTGAAACTTTCGGATTTTGAATAACAATTGAAAAAGTGGCCTTAAAATGGATTTTTCTAGGATGACAGATTTTGGGGATTTTCCGAAAAAGTGGCCTTAAAAGGGTCGGCCTTAAAAGTGCTTCACACTGTACATAATTTAAAAGATTTTCAGCATTTATTATGATGATCTAATAATTCTTTATTCGATTCTAGTGCCAAGAAATTGGTCCCCTCAATCATATTCAAAACTACGGGTTCTTCTTCTTGAAGATAATTTAAGAAGGAAATAACAGTTAATTAGATTTGGTAGACCCTACTTGATATTAGAATTCAATGAATCAGACTTCAATGCCAGAAAAGACGGAGTGGTCGCCTCTCGCCCAGATCGCCTCCTGCCCAGATCGCCTCCTGCCCAAGATCGCCTCTCGCCCAACTTGGGCAAGAGGCGATCTGGGCCAGAGGCGATCTTGGGCGAGAGGCGATGAGAAATAATTTTCAAAGAAAACTTTAAATGACTTGGGCTAGAGGCGATCTTGGGCAGGAGGCGATCACTTTAATATAATTCCATTAAACTTCCTCTGCTATCACGTGGACTGATTTTTTCATTCAACTTCTCAAGAAGACGATTTTTCCTCAACTAAATTCGAAAACACCTCCAAAATAGAACGAACCGATATTGAATCATGCAAAAGTCATGAGAAACCTTCTTTCCGATCAACACAGGGATTAGCGCCCTATTTCCTGCTCTTTCCAGCTTTGATTAGTGATTCGATTATCACTTGAACTCTTCTGAATTTCCATATTCTGAAATAACCAGGTAATGAAGCTACCGGATACTTTTGAGTTCGCTGGGTTGATGTTCAATATCACAACAACGAGCCAATTTGAAAGAAAGGGGAATGACGGTCTGTTAGAAACTCTCGATTCTCAATTCAAGTCGAATAAATTCTACACTTCTTGACGAAACGATCCTCAAGACAAAACGCTTGATAACAGCCACCAGTTTTGAATCCGTCATTATTTATGAATAAATATTATTATAAATATATTATTGATAATCAATTCATAACTCTTGTTTTCTTTTAAATAAAAGTTATTTTTGAATGCAGTCCGTTGGGTACTTCTTTGATGAGAGCGCATCGCAAACAACACTAGAAAGAGCAGGAAATAGGGCGCTAATCCCTGTGTTGATCGGAAAGAAGGTTTCTCATGACTTTTGCATGATTCAATATCGGTTCGTTCTATTTTGGAGGTGTTTTCGAATTTAGTTGAGGAAAAATCGTCTTCTTGAGAGGTTGAATGAAAAATCAGTCCACGTGATAGCAGAGGAAGTTTAATGGAATTATTTTAAAGTGATCGCCTCCTGCCCAAGATCGCCTTTCGCCCAAGTCATTGATAGTTTGCTATGAAAATAATTTCACATCGCCTCTGGCCCAAGATCGCCTCTGGCCCAAGATCGCCTCTTGCCCAAGTTGGGCGGGAGGCGATCTGGGCAGGAGGCGATCTGGGCAGGAGGCGATCTGGGCGAGAGGCGACCACTGAAAAGACGCGACTGCCAGAAAGAACGCGATGCCAGAAAAGACGCATTTCCCAAAAATGCCAGAAAAAACGCGCACCCGTTGAATAAGCTTCTTATGGGGGCTAGTTAAGCTTGTTGGCGAGGATTCCATCAATTTCTGGAAGCTAGAAGCTTACTTCGCGGAAAATCGACTTCTTGACTGAGAAATGTCTGTTTTTCGAAAAAATTTAAGTATATTTGGTGGGACATGCATTTTTTGCAGGTGACCCAATTTTCCGGACATTTTTGAAAATCTGGGCAAAAATTAGTCCGGAAAAATGGAAACATACTGTATTTGTGTTATAAAAAGACCAAGGGAAAACGTGGGCAAAAATTCAGAGGTAAGAACTCGATCAAAATTTTTGGTGATAGAATGAAGCGCTTAAATCCCCAGCCTTGATTGCAGAATTGATTCAATATTGTAGATGACTGTATTTCTTATGTATGGCAGGAAAATAGAAGAAAACACAATTAACAAGAGATTAATATCAAAACGTATGAAGCAAGAAAATTAAGCACAAAAAAGCAATGAAAAAGCACACCCGTAAGCATTTACGAAAGACCGAGCTAAAATGTATCTTACAGTCAGAGTAAAATTATCAAATTGATAAAAAAGTTGTTCAGGAAAGCGGGAAGAACTAGAGCAGAGTTTCAATGAAATTTCCTATATAAAGTCAAGCCATGTTTTGTCAGCAAATAGTTTCACCTTCGTTTGAGATATAAAACATCAAGAAAAAAAATGTAAAATCAAAAGAGCTTTCTCGCAAATTTTTCGAAAGAAATAAAAGTGAATGATCAAATTTGATCATTTGATGATTTAAAAAGTATTAACCAGTTTGTCGAATATTTCAAAACTGGTCAATATCTGATCAAAATCGAGGAGGCGCCAAATTGGGCCAGTAAAAGTCGGTAAGAAAAAATGTAAAATTTTCAGCAGTGGATGAGCAGCTAATTTTCAAGGTGAATCTGTCTGTAAGCACAGACCCTGTCATGCTCTTCAAAGATCGTTCTGAGAGTGTTGCGTAGTCTCTGTGCTTCTAGGACTTCTTCGCGCGCTCGGTTTATGTCCATTTCCAGCTTCACCTTTTCTTTCTCGAGCGTTTCCAGTTGCTCCTGCTTTCTTTTGCGAGCTTTGGCGGCGGCTGCTCGGTTCTTTTCGCGCTTTTCGAGGACTCTTTTTCGCTCTTCTTCGTCGCTTATCTGAAAATATTGAGTAATTAGCTACCAGTTGGTGAAGAGCGATTTATCTTTACAATTTTATCAAAACATCAAAGTACAAATTTATAGAGAAGAAGCTCGGCAGAGATAAAGAATAATCAAATAATTGCTCTCAATTCATATCGAAAATAATATATAAGGAAAAAGTTCTAGGGTTATTTGAAGACAAAGTCCTCTTGTATTGTCAACTTACATAATCTTCCTGAATTTTGCCCGCGTCGTTTTTGATGCTCGCGTATTGGCCGGATTTGTGTCTCGGCGGGAGTTTCTCTGCTGGCCTTCGTCTCGTCGCTACTTTTCTTGGCTTTCTTGCTTGTGGTTCTGGCGGAGAAGCTACACAACAGAATTGATGATGTCGTTTTTTCAGTAAGGCTCAAACCTGGCTGTGAAGCTGTATCTTCTACTTTGACGACTTCGTTGTATGCTGGGGGATTTTCAACTGCTGGCTGCGAGGTTGGCCTGAAAATGTTCTTAAACATTTGTTTCTTTAGTTCGTTTTTTTTTCTGGTCCAATTATCAGTTATTTATCAACACTTTATCGATCAATTCCGGATTCTTTCTGGTTTTGATATTTCACGGTAAACGTAATGGAAACATTTATGATTTGATAGAATGAAAATCGATCCATCCTTCCTTCTAACTTGGCTCTTTTAACGATAAGTTATCGTCAATTACTAGGGTAAATCAGAAAGAAATCGACTTTTTTTTGGGGTTAGAAGAGGGGTCATATAATACATATTTAGAAAGCCAAGAACCTGAGGATCATTTTGACTATTTATACTAGGGGGTCATCTCATACCCTGAGTGCATTTAGGCACCTCCGAAGTCCCAAAATCTGGCCAACTTGCGCCCCAGAAGGGGGGGGGGGGGTAATCAGGTTCTCAAAATGACCGTCAGAGCCTGGGCTACAATTCAAGCCAAGTGGCTGGCTTTAAAAGGCGTTCAAAAATTCGAAATTCTCAAGTTGGCCAGATTTTGGAACTTTCGAGGTGCCTAAATGCCCTCAGGGTATGAGATGACCTCCTAGTATAAATAGTCAAAATGATCCTCAGGTTCTTGGCTTTCTAAATATGTATTATATGACCCCCCTTCTAAGCCCAAAAAAAGTCGATATTAGTGATTTACCCTATCAATAACTTACATTGTTTGCAAGCTTTCATCAGAGGCAACAGGGAAGAAGTAATCGCTGCAGTCCATGATTTCTGTAAGGGAGTCATCACGCAGACACGGCTGCACTAAAAGGCAAATTTAATCCTAAGATAAGAGTGGCGATCTCAGAGCGCGTTTGAAGTGTTTCCGGTGATGTGGGAGAGTGATTATTTTTGTAGGAGGGGGTGATTTGTGGCTATGTTTTGCCAGCTTTGCCAGGAGGATATTCAGCGTCTAGTCACGCGCCCGGCTTGTTAGAAATTTGAGAGGGAAAAGGACGACCAGCGGGAGAGTGGTAGAAATTCTTGGAATTCCTTTGGTCTTTGTTATTTGATTTTTGAAAAGTTACTATTTGGACCTGAAATCATGGAAGAGAACATTTCATTAAAACAATCGTTCATCAAGCTTCTTTAAAATTTAGAGTCTGAATGGATTTGATGATAAGAAAATGCTGAGATTTATATAGAACGTCTCTAGTCAGAGTTTCCCTTCTTTGGTTCTGGAAATAATGAATTTCAGAAAAGGTAAAAGAATAATCCTCGGAATCCGTTAAGGGAAATATTTAAAAAAGGGAAACAAGACAAATTTGTAAGCAAAAAAAAAAGGATTTCACCTATTGAAAAAAAAATTATAAGTCCGTAGATTAGGCACCCCAAAAAAGACCGAAAAATAAGCGGATAGCGTTAAAAGACTGCATTGTGCGATTTTCAATGATTACAGTTGTTTCCAGTGATCATGAAAATGTTTTTTATTTGAAAAATTGCGGCACTTATGTTCTCTCTTCTTTATTCTTTGGGGCGCTTTTTTACGAATTTTTCCGTGCTCGTAAAGGATATTCACGAATAATTAATACCGGGGTGAGTGTATGTCTGTACATTCATAAGTGTCTTCAAGCAGCTTTATTCTCTTGCTTTCCATAATTGTTAGTTATCTCTAATTTGTGGTTGATTTACTTGCGATGCGAAATTTGGAGTTCTGGTGAAAGGATTCTTCTGTCCTGAGTAAGTCCAGCATAAGGGCCCGAAGGCGAAAACTTTGGCTAGAGCTTGAATCATCCAGATAGCTTGACAGAGACATTTTCCCACTTTTGAACTTCTTTTTCTATTCTTTTCTAGTGCTCTTATTTTTGTTTCTATTGTTCAAAAAATAAGTTCGATGCTCAGTTAAGGGTACTACCCTGGATTTTCAAAATGGGCTTAAATCGAAGGTTGTACCCTTAAATCGAGAAGGTCTAATTCAAGGTCAAACTACAGTCATTTTTGATCTAAAAAAGTAAGAGAAACTAACATTCCTGAAATCCAAAAACAAATAGATAGATTTTTTGATCCGAGATAGTCTTTATTCTGAATAGACTCTAACAGAGCCTAATGTTTTATGCCGCCTTATCGGAGAAATTATAATATCGCCAATTGTCTCTATCAGAGAGGGTGCTATTTCTTCAAGAGATAGAATTAATGTTGGAAGCTGATAAAGAAGATGTTTGAATGTCCCATTTTTGTTCGATTTGAACACTTTTTACACTCTTTTTTGTCTCAAAAATTCTTCAGAAATCAAAATAAAGGGTACTTATTTTAACGGAAAGACTCCTCCAGTAATTGATCATTTAATAAGCAATTAGTTATTGCCAATTACCTGCTTCATTGAAAATCTGGAAGGAATCTGCCCCAGATAAATCGAAAAGCTCGTCTGGTCGAAACCTTAATTTTCTCGTAAAATTTATGCTAAAAAAATGATAATTTACCTGTTTGGGCGTTGATTTGACATCAACATTGAAATAATACTTCTGAGCGGATAAATTTTTATTTCTGAAAATCAGAACCGATAGAAATATAAATGATCTCCTATGACTGAAATAAATTTGTTTCGTATTTATATCCTATCGGCGGAGAATCCCAATTCCGTTTCCGTCGCCTTCTGCCGACAATGTCGCCGTAAACTCATACTCCCGGTCCCTCGGTTTTCAATTTTGACAAAATTGATGAATATACAGATAATTATAGTGGGGTCGAATCGGAAATAGTAGCTCTACTGCAAGATTTGATAGTGGCAAAAGACTTTTTATATTTTAAAATTGAATAAACTTGGCTTTCCGAAAATATTCAGATAATAGCGAACTATGGGTAAGGATAAAGGTTAGGGTTAGAGTCAAGGTTCAGAGAAGGGTAATAGTTTGTATCTTTCATGACCTTGGACTAGACGCAAATCTTGTGAGTGGGCATCGCTATTCATCAAGTTAGAAAAAGCCTAATCAAAGGGTGATTCAGCCCGCCAGGTTTACTTATCCGTAATGCTTTCCCTTTTCCTATCTTTGTTGACAAAAAAATATGAAAGAAATGTATGGAATATAGAATCTTTGATTTTAATCTTGCTAATAGCTAGATAATCTTGAATTGGTGCTGATAAATTTCATATCATATCTTTATTCTTCAAAGGAAAATATGAATCGAAAAATATCTCCGCACAAAATAAAAGTAAGATAAGAAAATACTCGAGGAAAACCTGAAAGATCTTTTGAAGAATCTTTTGATAAGAAATTCTATCGAAAACTGCTTATAACGATATCTCGGAGTTATTCAGAGTCAAAATACTTGCGTTCAAAATGTCTTTCTCAATTTTATTGATACGTTTTTTTTTATCTAGTTCGCAGTTTTTATTTTTAATTATTACTTTATTATTTATTTTTTTCTTCTTTTATATTTTTAATTTTAAATAAATTTTGTCTTTATTATTTTTTTAAATTAAATTTTTGTAATAAATAATTATTATAGTAAAATTTTTACTGATGAAATCATTCAAAAAGGATTGTCTAATCATGTTTGCTTCTGTAAGTTCATCCGCATGCCTGTGCTGGTAGTCAAAATTGTTCAAATTCTTCTTGGCGGTGGCTCTTTGTTTCTTCTCGCTAAATTCTCTTCGGGTGCTCTCGGAAGTGCTCGGAATGAGATTCTGCTTCGACTGTCCAATCCGCCGCGCTCCGAGCGATTCCGAGCGCTCTCCAGCGCCCTTTCGCGCTGAAACGCCGCCGCTAAAATTCAATTGAGAAAATGGACCTGTCGACTTTTGCTACTGTAACCTTGACACTACTGCTTAAATATTTATCAAAGAAGAACTAAAGTTTCATGAAAACTTTTGTTAAAAAAGCATTTTTAATCTATTTTAGTATTTTTATTAATTTTATTAAAAAATAATTTTCTATTTCAATTTTCTTCAGACAGAATTAATTACAAATCCGTTTCTGAATCAGCTAAGGAGGATGATATTCTTATGGGCCTGCTGCAAAATGCTAATTTGAGGACAAATTTCCAAGCTGGAATTTTTCTCTTGGAAAAGGGCTCAGACGAATACCACCGGAAAACGCATTTAAGCTGTCTCACACCGGAGAATATGAGCCTGTTCTTGAGACCTAAGAGGTCTGGACAACAGTGGAAACTGTAGCTTCCTCGACTAGAAGACTGTAACCGTTCCCTATTTACAGATCTTTTCAGAACTTCTCATAGCTCAGGACATGAACTCGTCTGGACGCAGATTATCAGGCGCCAACTATTCTGGAAATACATATTTTTACCTCGCCTTCGATGTCATTTTTCAACTCTTTTTTCAAAAAATTCTGACAAAAATGAAGCTAGAAAAAGAAATTCGCAGCTAGTTGAAAATTCCAAATTTCGCACCTTCCGAATTTTTTTCGAACAAAGAGTTCAAAGTACAATGAACAGTCTTCGCTCGTTTGAGTTTCAGTCAGATTTTGCGGGTTAGATTTGCCAGCAAGGCTGAAAAATAAAATATAAAAAGCCAAGTTCAATTGAGATTTTCAAATTTGAAGAGTCCTACTAACTCTTCAAACAGAAATTGTATTCAGGGGCAGTTTGAGTACGCAACGTCACGCGAGCTCAAATACGCTCGTAATCTTCTCGATTACGTTACGTTTTGAAATTTTTACTGCGCTTTCCTTATAAAGACTGTGTGCTTTGTGACGATGGCAATTGACTTAGTGGCCCTCGCGCTTGTCCTTTTTGGAAATTTGGAAAAGAAATGAAAGAAAAATGAAAAATTGAAGAAAAATTAGAATTTTCTCTACAAAAAAATAGAGGAAAACAAAAATAAAATGAAAACAATATCTCGTTCGGTAAGCAGAACTTATTTTAGAAAAAAAGTTTAGTGTTGGAATGCAAGGAAGCATTGAGCTAAATCTATTTCAGCCCACCAGTGGTGTTTCGTCCCTGTCTTCCTGAATCCCAATCTATTAATTTAAAATAAACTTGATATATTTTTATACATTTATTTTTCTAAAAACATCCTTCGCTGAATGATGATTGATCGAGAATTGCAAAGTTCGAAGTTGCTATTTTGGGTGGCCCACTCGGCGGGAGATTGCCGAAAAAACCGCAAGATTCTCCATCCCTCAAGGCTATTGAGAATCTAGCCGCTCGTTCACCGCGCGGTCGGATCAAGACAAATCATATCGCGGCGCAATATTCACGCGTCGCCAAAGCTCGTGTTTATTTTAAACTCGCCCTTTTCGGGGAAATTTTTTATGGCCCAATAGAGCCAGATTCTCAATGCCAATTAAAATTTTCAAGAAGAGACTTCCAAACAAAATTTTCAAGTAAAAAATAATATAAAGAAGGCTTCAATTCGAAATTAAGATGAAAAGCATCTATTTGGAAGTCCAATTATTGGAAAAATCACGTGATAAAAATACATATTGAAGGCATGGTTATAAAATTATAAGTTTCCGATAATTCTTTCAGCAGAAAATTAATTATTCGCTAGGTAATATATTCTCAGCCTGCGGCGCTAAATATGCATGAATTGAAACGATAAATTTATTGAACACATGATCGGATAGCTTCTGAAAGCCCTCGTGACTTTGTTCTGTAGCTACAGAAAGAGACCACGTGAGTCCTCACGTGCATAGAGAAGTAGTAACTCGTCCAAGGACCAGACTGCGCCGCGGTGGAAGACGATGCATTCCCAATTCTCCTCGGTTATTTTCGATTTCTGTAAAAGAATTATCTTATTAGGTTTTCTTTAAATTAAAGGGATACCTTGAATTTTGTACTCGACAAAAACGCCACAAATTGTATCAGAAAATGGGTCACTTTCTGGACGAAAGGGCTCGCAGAAGATTTGACAGCTAAAATTTAGATATGTTTTCGATACTATAGTGACGTATGTTTTTTTACAGTTTTCCACCGTCTCGTGATTTTGAACAGATTGGACGACCCGTGAAAATCGGCGAACAGGGAGACAACGAAGACTGCTTGTCTGAATTTGAAAATAAATGCAAATTCTCTTACTTAGTAAAAAATGACTAAAATAAATATACTTTCTTATATTACCTCTCAAGTATGATCGAATACTGTCTCTCAAAGCACTCTCGAAGGCTTCGGTATATCTTTCTGGGCACAATTGCCGGGAAAAAGCAAATGAAGCGAAAATGAAGACACTCTTGAAAATCATTTCTTTCGAAAAGAACGTCAAAGTCAGAGTCCCAACTCACAAGTCGATCGAGTTCAAAAGAACCAACAAACAAACCGTGCCCTTCTTGGCGTCGCATGTCAAACCCGCGGTTTTAATAACCTTTAGGAAGGCGCTAATGACTTCATACTGTGCATTCCATAAAATAGACTCAATTTTTATTTGAAAAATAATCAAGTGTTCACTTTGTCAGGCCAGTTGTTGTCGATATCATTCCAAGGTTCGTAACCATTGATCGCACGAATTTTGAATCCGGTATCTCCATTCTTTTCATCAGATTTGAAGCAAAGTTTCATTGGGGAATATATTGTTGAAAGCCTCATTCCATTCTTATAATTTCTAATTACATTTATTTTTGTAATAAAAACTCACAAATGATCCACGAGTTTCGGGTCCAGAAAAGTAGTATTGAACTCCATTCTCGCCCTGTAAATATACAAAATCATATCCAAGTTCTGTTGCGAATTCCACAAATTCGAAAGTTAACCCTTCGCTTGAATTTGACATGATTTTGTGACAGCAATGAATGGCTCCGACGTATGCATTATTTCCATAAGCTCCAAGACTTAATCAAAAAATATCATTTGCGATACACTCGAATATGTTACTTACGGCACATCAATAAAAGTAAAAACCGTGTATTCAAGAGGGCCATCGCATAGTGGGATACTTTCTTCGACAACCATGCCATCAATATTGTGAAATTGGGCGTCATTGAAGACAGGAAACGGCGGAGTTGGAGCATCTCAACCTGCTCTTATAGAAAAGGTCGCCAATATGAACTTTGTCGTCAACCTTGATCTAGTATTGCCAATACTGTATTGACGACCTTTTCCCAACAATATTCGAAATAATAATGAAAACCAAGAAGCAAACACAGCAACCAATTGAAATGGACGAAGCCGGACTTCTTTCTGAGGCCTGTACTGGAACTTGTATCTGCTGAGCTGAAATCAAATGAGTATTTCTTCAAATTTAAAAATAAAAACTTTTTAAAAATATAAACTTTTTACTAAAAAGTCAAGAGCTTACGTAAAGCTTGTTGAGAAAGAGCTTGTTGAACCGGTGGCGGCGATGATAGAGAAGGAGGAGGAGCGTTTTGTTGAATGTTTATGACCATTGGTTGATGAGTACTTGGTGCTGGAGGGGGCTGCGGGGCCATAGCCGGAGCTGGAGCAGGTGGTGGTGGTGGAGCTCCATATCCAGGTGCACCAGCAAAGGGTGCAGCAGGGTAAGGCTGCTGCTGCTGATACTGCGGCGGTGCGGTATTCGGGTACATTAAACTAAGTCTGTCAAATACATTTTCCAAACAGTCTTCTCAATTCTAGAGAAAAAATTTCATCGGGGAAGCAAATTGCATTATGCAAGTTGACTTTTATAAAGATTTCTCATGTTCTTTATTAGAAAAATGGTCAGTTGGACACTTTATCAGGCCAATTAGCATCAATATCATTTTCAGGCTCGTATCCGTCGATCGCTCGAATTAAGAATCCAGTATCTTCGATCATATGGTCAGACTTGAAGCATATCTGTATTGGGTCAAATTGTGTTGACAGTCGCATTCCATCCTTAAAATTTCAATTAAAATATTTTCTAAAAAATAAAAACTTACAAATGATCCAGGCGTTTCAGGACCAGAAAAGAAGTATTGAATTCCGTTCACGCCCTGTAAATAGACAAAATCATATCCAAGTTCCGTGGCAAATTCCGTGAATTCGAAAGTTAGCCCATCGCTTGAATGTGACATGATTTTGTTGCACATATGAATATTTGAAGTGTAAAACATTGAGTTCACGCTTGAATAAAAAAGTGTCATTTCCAATTAGATATTGCTTACTAGACGTCGATAAAGGTGGAAACTGTGTATTCGAGACCAGTAGTATGACCACCACTGGTGAGTTCTACGCTTGTTCCGTCGACATCAGAATGATCAATATTAAAAAAGTAGTCAAATAGAGGAAACGGTGGACTTGGAGGAACGCGAGGACCCGTTGGGATTGTCGTTGTCGTTGAGATTGTCGTTGTGCTAAGATTATTGAAGTGGCTGTTGATTTCCTGGGCTACAGAATCTATTGTATGGTTAATGAACCCTACCCATAGTAGATATAATCATAGTCAGGTGTTGTAGTTCCCTGGCTCGTTGTCTCTAGATCGGTATTTCCATTAATGGCTCTTATTCAAAAGGTCGAAAAATCATTTGATTATTATAACTAATAATTTATAAGTAGATCTGGTTTTTAAGACCTTTTCCTTAATACATTCGAAATAATAATGAGAATCACAAAGGAAACACAGCAACACATACAAATGGACGAACCCGTGCTTCTGCTTGAGGTTTCTACGGGAACTGGTGCTCGTTGCGCTGAAAAAAAGAAAAACGTAAAATATCTAAATACATTTTCAGACTAAGAACTAAAACTTAAAAAATATTCTTCTTAAAATACCCAAAAATTTAAAACTCACGAAGAGCTTGTTCAGAAAGGGCTGGTTGAATCGGCGCTGGTGCTGCCAAAGTAGGAGAAGGAGCGTTTTGTTGAATGTTCAAGATCACTGGTTGAGGAGTACTCGGTGCTGGAGGTGGCGGAGGAGCGTAAGCCGGAGCTGGATTAGGCGCTGGTGGTGGAGTTCCATAGCCAGGCGCACCAGCAAAGGGCACAGCAGGGTAAGGCCGCTGCTGCTGATACTGCGGCGGAGCGGTATTCGGGTACATAAAACTAAGTCTGCTAAATGCATTTTTCAAACAATATCCAAAATTCTAGAGACAATAAATGCTAAAACATTTATGTTTAGTCTGTTTTATTAATTATAATCAAAACTGCTTATTTATCTCTCATCAGTAAAAAAAAAATCCTTCTGCAAAAGATGCCCTATCCACCATCTAGTCTGGATAAAATCGTCTTTTTTACGTCCGAGGCCTATCAATTTTATAAAAAAGGAACTGGTCAATTTGTTCTCAATTTATTTGTGATCAATTTGAGATATTAGTTTGACGACAACGTTCTGGCAGGGTTATTTACAAAGAAATCCACTTCCACAATTGGGCTGTTTCAGCTAACACGGGAATATTGTTGAACTTTGGAAAGTATTGTTTTTAATTTGTACAGATTATCTCTTTCTTCATTGATGGTTTCAGGAGGCAGGAATCGGTGCAGAGTCGAGCAAAAGAGGGAGAATATCGCGGTGTGTTTGATAGTGCGCTACCAGCATCAAAAGATGGGGAAATGCTCGGGAGGAGCCCTAGTGAGTCCTTGTTGATTTCAGTTTTTGAATTTCGGAACATACCTTGATGTACCATCCGATTTTGCTCTCTTTGACCAGTTGATATTCGTGAACATGCTCAATGCCTCTTACCAACAAAGCGGAATTGTTGAGCACCAAAAATGTGCCAAGAGAAGATTGACAGAGAACAGAGATTCCAATGTCCCTGGAAAAAACCGTTTGTTAATTTTGTCATTGCGGGTTGAACTTACTTTGGGAGGCCCTGGTGGTACCACTTGGCCACGCGCAGTCGACTGTCCAAATCGTGATAAGAGTCACCAGGGGCGAGTAGACGCAGCTTTCGCGCCACAGGATTTGTTTTCACAAAGTTGGCGAAGTTTTCAAAGTGACTGGTTGACTTTTTAATCGTGGCGGTCTCGTGCTTAATCCCGAAGGGGCCCTGTTTGTGGCCTGTATTTGTGGTGGAGTGCGTTTGTCCGAGTTGGGCGCTAGATTTGGCGCTTTGAGCGAAAGAAGCAGTAGAGCTTGGAATGCCCGAATCATTGTTTTGAGCAGTGCGGCGGACGAGCGAGCGAAGCGAGCGTCGAGGTCCGGTTGATGAACGGCGGTTGTTGGATTTTGAGCTGACCACGTCGTCCTTGGCGTTTTTCTCAATCTCGAGGATAACCCTGCGCTCGAGGTCGTCAGCGAGGCTGCTGATGGCAGAATCTAAGGATGAATGTTAATTTTGAGTAATCTGGGAAAAACATACCATCAGAGTGGGCTGATGTCTTGCTTCTAACTGTCGTGCTTGGTGACTTGTAATCCGCCATTGGGCGGGTGTTGGATCTGTCAGAAGAGGTGCCAATGCTCGATGAACCAGGGCCAGAGGCGGCTGTTCTGTTCGTGTTAGAGCTTGGATCGTAGTCGTGACGGAAGTTGCAGAAAGTATCCTCAACACTTTCAAGATAGCAAGGCTCGAAGCAATCGTCAGCAGAGCTCGTTGAGACGGGCTCAGCGCCAGAGTCGAGAGTAGAAGTCAGTGGAATAGCGCGCGTCTGGTTCGGAAACGCGCAGGAAGCTGTCGACATTGTTGATAGTTCTGACATTCGCGAGGAGGAACGTTCATCTGCGGGTGGAGCTTCAGTTGAGCTTCCCTTCCGGATGGTGTAGGCGGATTGGAATGCGCCGCCGATGACGGAGTTTAGAATGTCGGCCTGGAAGTAAACATAAATAACGAAGACAACATAAAAATTCTTAAGACAGCAGAGTAAGAGAAAGATAGAATTCGTTAAACTAGTAGTTTTGACTTTCAAGAAGAAGCCGCAGCGTCAGGTAATAATGATACCCTCAGCAGCATTTTTTGCCTAATACCGGACCGGTTTATTAGAACGGTCTTTTCTCAAGGTCTAATTCTAGCGTGTCGCTTTATCAGAATACCTGCGGGTTAAAGCAAATTAACTTGAAAAGCGGCCTCCTTATTCGGCTTAATTAAACGATAAGCCGAGATTTTTCTTTTCAGCTTTAACCGCCCTAGATAACGTAGCGCAGGGCGAAGGATGAGCGGGCGGACAAAATGGCCGCACCGCAAAGGCGCCATGAAATCGATTGCAAATGAGGAGGATGATAAGGAGGTCTTTTATGCGACTTGCGATTTTCATGGACGATTATTATTGCAGTATACGCGCACGTGTAAAATGGCGGATGCTCTAATCAAACACGTGGTTGAGTAATCACGTGTTCAATTTGGGCTTATCTAAGTTGTAGTTCTATATTGTATGACAAGTGTTTTTGAACTAACATACTATTTGTTATCTAAATTGGCTTGAATGACAACTTTCTGTTTAGGCCAAATTTAAAAAAAAAATGTCCGCCTGTCAAATTCGACAGAAAAATAATTTATTGACGTTTTCTCGTTTTTTGATTACAATACTTCAGAAACGAACGATACTCGCTGCCGAAACTATGATTAAATCAGCAGCTGGACTTTCTCTCTGGTACATTCTTAGTTTTCAAGAGCGTCTTTCCTCAACGTTTGAATACCGGAGGATTTTTCAATGTTATGAAGATTGATTAGACTTACCGATGGTGTTCGAAAAACGTGACAGTACTGACGATTCAAGGGCTGGCCAGGGTCACGTGCGGCGAAAGCGAAGAGTTCAGAGAGACAGGTTGAGAAGGAGACTCTTCGGAGAGCATGGACCATGTAGGTTTCCTAAGGAATAAGGTATTTTTAGATCAAAAGCTTTTATTGCCGTTTATTAAAACAATTCAGACAGCTTTTCGTCCAAATAAATAGACCGAGTGGACCCTGCTCGATCAGTTTTGACGCGAGAGGAAATCGTTATGCAAAGTTCTTGCCGAAGAATTTCCAAAATTCCAAGACTAGCTTCTCGTTATTCAATGCAACCGCCCGTTTTATCATCCTGACAAGGGCGAAATTCGCGCCCACGTGACAGGCGGAATGTTCTGCCCATTGAACCCTGCTTCTGCTTATCAGTGGTGTTTTCAGTCGCCGGTGTACTGCTATCACTATCAGTTTTGCCTTCTGGAAGCTCTTTGTAGACTCAAGAAAAACCCCTTATGCCGGGCGGATGGTATTGTGCTTCCTTTTGCCTGTTTTGGAATGATGTAATTACACTACCGTTCGTTTAACAACAGTTTATCTCAAATTAGGACACATCAAAAAACGCGGAAGTGTGTTTAGAATTGGTGGCCATAAGATTTCCTACCGCGGTGGGACACGTTCAAATGGTCAGTGATAAGTTATCACAAAAGAAACTCGCGGCAAGTATGGCTCAGATTTTTAGAATCAAGCTATTTTCCAGCTCAAGCTACTACTATCGACTTTAGATAGCAACTACACTGTAGTACTGCTTTAGTTTCTCACTCAACTTTCTGTTTCGTAAGTAAGTGATGAACTGCGCGCATTCTTGCATACTCTGTGAGCATTTCTTCGACTGATAAATTGCCACCTGTGATGCAGATAGGACTCTTTTTTCGATGATTGAAGAGTCTTCTTTTCGCAGGGAAAATGCTAACAGAGGGGACCCTCTTAAAGGCCACCCTTAAATTTACACGGAAAGAAGCATTCAAAATAATTTCGAGTCAATTTCCTCCTCTTTAAAAATTAAGGACCCTCTTTGGAAAAAAAAATTACCTGAGCGTTCAAGGAGGATACTTTAATTCCACACAGTGCCATACTGATCACAACACTGGTCCCAGTCGTTTTGGTAGCCGGATCTCTCTGAAAAAGTTTTTTAAGAAAAGCGTGACACTAGAATTTTATAAGGGCTCTAATTTAAAGTTTTAAGTAAGGGTGTCTACAAAAAAAAAGTGCCTTATGATAAGCCAGCTCTCGAGAGGCAAAGTGCTTCAGGAGAAATGATAACATGAAATTTAGCATAAGAAAACTTGTCGAAATATGGTGTTAGAAAATAGCGATAAGGAAATGCTATGACATATAGAAATGTGGAAGTTTATGCGTTATCTGATAAACAAAGCACAGCGGGAGACCTCGGTGATAAGAGACTCGGAAATAATGAGTTGCTTTCAGCTTAGATTTTCTATGTTTTTATGCTTGTATAATTGAGAGTCGTAACAAAACGTTCCTGTGAAAAAGGATATTTTGTTAAGACTCGGCGGGGGACGAAATATTGATAAGAAGTTTTTCAAACTTACGTTGATACTGTCGAGTTGTTTGGCGATGAACTGCGCGCGATCACGTGGATTCCCCAAGGTCACTGGAAACGAGCCAATATACTGAAAAAATGAGGATTATTAAAAGTATCCATCAACGCGAAAATTGAAGACTGAAATCAACAACGACATCTGACACACGCTGGAGCGGCGCCAAGACAAAGAGAATGGAGGGAATTTTAAATGAATAAATTATACTTTCTGACTACTGAAAGAAAAGAATTCCTAGCTTTCTTCTGGATTAACGAGCAAGTTAAGTTAGTTGTTGAATTTGGAGTAGCGCCAAAAGTATGTTCTTATCGTGTAAGGCGCGCGTCAGTTATTCTGAATACAGCTGTGCCTTTGAGGTTTTGCAGAAGATGATAAAACTGTCAACATTGGCGTATATTTTCGCGAAAGATTCAGAACACGTTTCCAAAAACATTTTGTTGTTAGGTTTTTTGAGCGTCATTTTTGCACTCTTGCACTTTTGTTGGCCTCAATAATTGTTCAAAAGGGGCTTATTTTCAACAAAAACAGTAACAATCCCGACCCAGATTAGTAATTAACCGCCACAATTTTAAAACGCGCGTACTTAGCCATCTGCTCAGAGCAATAAATTGAAGCTTTATTCGCGCGTTAGTACCTACCGCGTCGTATAAACTTGACGTCTTTTGAAAAATGCTCGGAGCTTGAAAAGGAATTTGTCAGATTTAAACTCATTACTCCTCGTGATTTATTTGTTTGTGGAAAAGACAAGAACAGGAACATCCCTGCCACGCTTATTCTCCGCCTTTATGGTTGGTTTTTGGTGATTTTCTAGATGATCATAGTTGATGTTGTCTTTCAAAAATTCAATCGGTTAGTTTAAAGCATGCTCAAGCCACTGAGTCACGAGCTTCGTCGACGGGCTGTGGAAATCTCCCTCGGGTTTCTTGGTAAAATCATCAAAAAGAAGCCGCACTTCAATTACTGTTTTTAAGCGCTTTATGTAGCTGTGGACATTGGAGTGCAACTATACAATCGAATCTACGCAGCAAAGAAGAAGGTGATTGCAGAAATCTCCGTGCACGAAGATGTCCTCGACGAAGCTCAAGCTGACTCAACATCCGTCGATCCTGCTTTCGACACTGGCTTCGAGGACGGTCCTTCGTCTCCAGAACCCAACTCTACATTTGAAGAGATCGAGAGCATCCGGAATCTTCAGACTGGCGTTCAGATCACTGGATTTTCAATCCTCGGCGAAGATCAAACCATCGGATCGATGGAGTCTTTTAGCGAGGAAGAACCAACCGATGTCTTGATTCATTTCGAACCCTCGCTTGTTGAAGCCTCTCTGCCCGTGGCTCAAGAAGAAGAACCCACCTCACCAATATTGGCAATAACCGACGTCGAGGAAGAATACATCGAAGCTTCCCTCAGCGAAATCTCTTCAATCCCCGAAACCGATAATGATAATTCATCAATCACAAGCACGGATGAACATTTCTTGAGCTGCTCAGAGTACGAGTACTTTTCTGCCTGTTCAGACATCGAAGTAGAGTAAATCCTCCATTTTCAAGCATTTTAAACTTTTTCTTTAGATTTTTTGAAAATAAATATTCCAAATCAAAAAGCCAATTCGTCTTTCTTAGACTGAAAAAATGTTATGGAACGTTTTTCCGGAACTAATTATTGGGACTTGCGAGTCTCAGAAAAAAAGACTGGCGCATTTTAGAATCAGCGCCCAAGTGATCCTCTTATCCCGTAATCCTGAGTCGCCACAAACATCCATTTTCAACCTTCGTAAATTTCATTTTAGTGAAAAGGGGGTTTTGCAATCCAATTTTCGCGACCCTGGAATCGCTCCTCTTTTGATCCCTTTAAATTTATTGAACTCAAGTTTCGAATACAAATTTTAAAATTCGCAATAGAAGTTCTCGTGAAAAATCGTTGGTGAAAAAAGCTTGTGTTTTTGGAAAAAACAATTATCTGTTCACAAAAATCTGGAGAGTCGGGTCCTCCCGAATTCACGTGGAATGAGATTATGACATCGGCTCATCACTGTTTCTAAAGAAAATTAGAAGGCGCGTGTCACATGTGGCGCAAATCACGAACTCCTTCATGTTCTCAGGGGAATTTTCTGGCTGATAGCGCGGCCGAAAAATCTACCTCGATCAGAAATTTTCATGTCACAAGGGATTACAGTTTCTAAGCCCTTATTTTACTTTCAAAATCATAATATTATGAAATCTCTAATCACAAGTCTCTGACTGTAGTTATCGAGAAGCCGCTTGCGGCTTCGAGTCTCATATAATTTAAGCCGCGCAAAGCGCGGCTCTTTCATTTTTTGACTCGAAGCCGCAAGAAAATTCAAAATAAATAAAATGAAAGAGCCGCGCTCAGCGCGGCTTAAATTATTTGAGACTCAAAGCCGCAAGCGGCTTTTCGATTTTTACTAGAAAAAGCACTCTAAATTGCGTATCAGACTGATAAAGAAAAAAAGGAAAGCTACTTTATCTCTTACCAAAGAAAAAACTCTCTTCAACAAATATTATCATTAATTCGGAAAATTTCAAAGATAACCGTTTTTTTCTCTTCCAAAGCTGAAAAATATTATTTTTGCTCTCCAAGAAGACCGGCGCCCCTATAATTTTTTCTTGCTAGAGTGGCTACCCTGTTATGTACGTGTGCTTGCGAAAACATGGACAAGTGGCGATGCCACTTGGCGGGTAGAGAGACGTGAGCTGGATTTGCTGCAGCGGAATTAGCAATTACAGGCGTTTAAAGAACTTCGGAGCGGTTTTCGCTGTCTGAAAAGGATGATGCAGCTTCATTTTTCCCGCGAATCGTTACGTGGCCACTTTGCTTATTTTAGAGAGCGCGAAAAATTTGCGATTTTCGCAAAGCCATTAGCTCAATCGTGGGATAATAAATTGTGACGCGCGTTTTATTGAATTTCACGTTCTAAAAATCTCAAATCCCAAAACGGTACCTGAACGGATTGCTCATTATAAGATCACTCAATTCGAGCAAATAAGAAAAGAGTCTAAAATCAAAAAGTAAAAGTACACCCTCTTTCAATCGAATTAAAAACCACAACCCTGATTTAACCCCCTCAATTAAGGTACAAAGTAGCTGGAAATATCGCGTTATCATTCCTGGTTAAATTCGAGACCTCAAACTTTCGGTCGGCTTTTTGAACCGCAGGCGTGGCATCTCGCCTGGAATGGATCTCCGAATTCATCACTGTCGCCATCACCTTTCCTGTCACATTTTGGCCTTGCGTCACGTGATCCCTCTTTCGATGACAAAGGGAGCCAAGTTGTGGAAGCGAAATGCTTTCAATTCGGCAGCTTTGCATTTGCATTTAACATTTCGCATTTGGCTCAGAATGGTGGTGAATTTGGCAGAGAACCGAAAAGAAAGAGAGTGAGACATGACACAAATATACTAATCCCACTTCACACACAAGAAAAATATAGAGTGTGTAGTCAACATATCTGAATTCTTTAGAATGCATTTTCTGACCTACTTATTGTAGTGACCCCTTATTATTCTTTCTATTTCAATTAAAAATCGAGAAGCCGCTTGCGGCTTCGACTCTAATAAAATTAAAGCCGCGCTTGGCGCGGCTCTTTCATTTTTCTACTCGAAGCCGCAACCGGCTTCTCGATTTTTTTTTTGATATTCAAGGAAAGAACTCATCTAACCCCATCGACGGTCAAAATTCATGTTGAATCGGCATCTTCCATACTTGACTGGGCGCCAAAGTACCGTTCAAAGCACTACAACTCGGGGTGTAACAAAATCCGGCATGTTTTCCTTTGTTCTTTTGCCTGGCAGCACCAAAAGCGGGCGTTTCAAGCTCAGTAGTGACTAGTCCAGCCTAGCGTGAAATTCGACAACTACAGTTTGAGTCAAAAATTTCTAGCGCTGGAAATGGCTCTTTTGAATAATCAATTTTAGGGCTCGATTAAGGAGAACAGCGGATTATAAGATTCAGCGCTTAGTTTTAGGTTTCGCGATGAAAAAGCTAGAATGACTAAATCGTGATTAGCAAAATCATCAAGGAGGAAAAAACGTGATTGGAGCTTATCTTCGATTTTCAAAATGAGTTTAGGATGTCGCCCTTTTACAGAAATGTCTCTAAATTAAACCATTTCGGATAAAAACTGCTGAATCGGGGATTTTTGAAAAATTATTTTTCACGCCTTGTTTGCTAATTGATGGCTCTTCCAATTATGAAACGATGTTGCGTGACCTTGCGGATTCTGCCTGATTTGTTATCAAAATATCAACGTCAGGGGTGCTGCTCTTCGCGGCTTCTTTTCCCCTGATTTTCCAAACGATTTCGCGAACTTTCAGTCTTTGGTAAAAACGTTGTCTTAGCGCGAAACTACGGTACTGCCGGTGCAAACAAGTGACCCTGGTTCTACCGAATTCAGCAGAATAAAATCAGTATTGTTAGAAATATGGTCGTTATGTGTTTTGTTTACTTTCGGAACTTGTTGGAAAGGACCACCCAAAATCCCTTTTGGCTTTTGGGCTCAATCAACAACATATAAATCTGGCCAAATGGGGAAATCCTCGCGGGGATGATCCACGAAAATCCTTTCCGGATTTGGCTCTGGATCTGAAAACAAGCACTCGGCGCTAGATACCGTACTTTCCTCGATGATTTTTATGAAATTTAATGAGTTAATTAAACTCGACAAAAGGATGATTTAAAAAATTCGCGGGCCCGGAAATCGTCAAAAACTTCTTGTCTAGTTTTGTAGAGCTCGTCGAGACGAGTCGAATGATATATAAAACTCCGGACAGTTTCAAGATTTTCCGCCAAAAAAGTGATAAGAAGGTGTCTTATCAAAAATTTTCTGACCGGCGCCGTTTTGTTCTAGAAAAGCTGAGGTGATGCTTGACCCCGGAAAATGATCCTCATGGTCTGTTCTATTCCGGCAAAAATTTCAGCTCGTCATCATATACCCAGCCGAGTTTATCGTTAAATTTCATTTTCCAAGGAAAATGGGACTGTAAATGGGCCGGAAACTAGGAACGTGCAGCGACAACAAAATGCACTAATTTTTTGATTTTTCGCTGATAAGCACAGCAGGATATGTGAGGACGAGCTGAAATTTTTGCCGGAATAGAACAGACCATGAGGATCATTTTCCGGGGTCAAGCATCACCTCAGCTTTTCTAGAACAAAAACGGCGCCAGTCAGAAAATTTTTGATAAGACACCTTCTTATCACTTTTTTTGGCGGAAAATCTTGAAACTGTCAGGAGTTTTATATATCATTCGACTCGTCTCGACGAGCTCTACAAAACAAGACAAGAAGTTTTTGACGAGTTCCAGGCCCGCAAAATTTTTTGAAATCATCAAGCCCCATAAAACCAAGATTAATTAAATGAATCGCGATTTTTTAATTTGCGATATTGCTCGGCTGACGGCCAAGTTCCCAGCAGAGAGAGCATCAATTTAACAGTTTTTATGTTCATAGTTCAATTTTTTGAAAGTAGCGCGCTCGTAAAACTTAACTCTTGGCGCGTAAATTGAATAAAAAAGGACTCGTTATTTATGAATCTGCTGTTTTACAATGAGCGAAGCCCGGTTGTAAAATTCAGTGAACGGACGGATTCATTATTCCGACGCGAAATGAAATTGAAACGAGATAAGGTTCTCGTCATCCCTTTTTCGTGAACCTGACGTTTTTTGTTTGTTGAATATTAGGAGGGTTTTCTCAAAGATAATGATCTTTTTTCGGATTTTAACATGAGAATAAGCGTTAAATTCGCCCTAAAATCGACTAATAAAAAGCTCGTTTTCATTTTAAATATAAAATAAAAAATATTTAACCTGGAAGAGCGGCCGTGTATTTCCCAAATTATAAAATTTCAGCGATATGGCCAGTGTACTGATAATTCTGTTTATCACGTTCTTCTTGAGCACGTCGGGACCGTTGTGCAAATTAAACTGAAAGGAGCAGAATTTCTGTAATTCAGAAATGCCGAAGCTGTTTTATGTTCCTGCCAAATTTAATTGCCAAATGAAAATAAGCGACGGAAAACTGTTTGTTCAATCTGTTGAAGTTTTTGATGTAGGAAGGAAAGAAAGCAGTTTCGGAATCCAATTTGGGTCGAGATTTACGATTTAAATTTATGGCTATAAATCGAAAAGGGATAATTACAATTTTTAACTCATAAAAGGAAAAATGCACAAAAAGGGACAAATATTCCCTTTTCTTCATTTTTCCCTACATTGCGTGAGTAATTTTAACTGTATGATTTATTATTTGACTTATTGAAAAAGATCAAAGATGGACAATTCAAATTTGTTGAAAATAACTCTGATTTTTATTGTACCCAGGGTGACTGAGCGCGATGGAAAAAATCATCGTACTGTAAATATCGAGCGCTACTTCTATCGCTTCTGAATGACTGTGCAAATTTATCTCCTCGGCCTTGGAACAAACTACAGTAAATATTCATTCATTATTATCAACCACTGTATTGTCAGTCGAAAATAACGGGAGACACTGAATTGTGCCGCCCTGCGCCGCCTTGC